GATATAGACTTCAATGATAAGCATAAGATATTGTTTTCTTATGAACATTAGATATAGTCTATTTCTTGTAGCTTGGTTAGATCTTTTTTTGGCATGTGTTTGAACTCAGCTAGTGAACGTTCATACTGGTCTAGTTTCCAGTTATTCAATAGCTTTCCAAAAACTAAAGATAGTTACAATTTTTATCTTCTACATATCTTCAAGACAAAATATTCTTTCCACTTTAATATATGATTATGGTGCATATAAATCAACAAATTAATAATATTTTGATTCTTAGATACAAAATAAAGTTTATTTGGTTTATGTTAATATATGTTTACATATAATTTTCTTCTAAAAACAAACTAATTTGTAACATATTTTTTTTCAAAATAATAAAATGAGCATGTAACATATTAACAATGTATAATTTTAAACATTTTATATTTTATATATTAAAAAAAACGAAATTAAAATTAAAGAAAAAATTCAAAGGAAGTTAGTTTCCTTTTTATGTCATTAGAAAATTTATATTTTCTATTTTATAAACACTTTAATATGAATAAAAAATAGAGTTAAGTATTTAGGAAAATTCATAATAACAATAAAAAGGAAATTATTCTAAGGTGCTTATGTGGACCAATGAGATTGAATTTTTCGAAAGTTTTTCTTTTTTATGTCATTAAATTTTATTTTATTTTATATTTTCTACACACTTAATATGAATAAAAATAGAATTAAGTATTAAGTAAATTGATAATAACAATAAAAATAGGAAACAATTCTTAGATGCTTATGTGGACCAATCAAATTCAATTTTAGAATCCTATGTGGACACCTTTAGAGGCATATAGGGTCAACTTTTATTAGTAACTAGGTATTTTACCCGCGCTACGCGCGGGTTTCGTTTTTATGTTTTTTTTTCTTTTAATTATGAATTTCTAATTTTCAATTTTTTAAAACGTTCATTGATTAAAAAATCTTTACAATTTTTATTTTTATTTTTAATATTTTAATATTTTATTTTATAATTATAGTTTCTTATTATTTAATTTCTTTATATTTTTAAATTTACCAAATCAATTTAACTCTTGTATAGTTGGTCACAATAATAAAAGGAATTGCATTGTGATAATTTCTTATTAAAAACATATTACAAACTTTCTCACATTTTCTCGTAAGGCATAGAGGCCCGATCATTGGAGAAGTTACATTAATCCCTAAAGTTTGTTGTCCTATTGTTTCAATTGAGTATATATAGCCGAATCTCAAATTTTCGGTTCAAAAGTTTGGCCGGTTTTGTCACGTTTTGGGTTTAGTCATCATTCTGAAATTATAAATTTATTACCTTCGGCTTCCAGATGCAAAGATGAAGATTAAAAAATGCGACTCTTTTGCCATTATTTTTCAAAAACCTTAAATTAAATCTCAATTGTAAACCAGTTTCGTCGAAATTCTATATCTTTACATCCATATTATCACCCTACCTCTCATCTGCTTTAATTATATACATACTACCAATTATTTTGTTTCATAACAATTTCATGTCATTGAATCTCACAATTCATACTAAATCCTCTTAGCCCCAAATCTTTCTTATAATTTTCAAACATCCACTAATCAAACTTAGTTAGCTCCATGTTTCATCACTGAAGAATCATATTTCTTTGAGGTACTATCTAAACTCAATTTGCCGTTAATCCATACTAAATCCTCTTAGCCCCAAATCTTTCTTATAATTTTCAAACATCCACTAATCAAACTTAGTTAGCTCCATGTTTCATCACTGAAGAATCATATTTCTTTGAGGTACTATCTAAACTCAATTTGCCGTTAATCCTTTTGTTTTGTTTTGTTTTGAGTCCTATTTAAATTTGGATCTATCATATACTTATTCCAGCCTTTAATTTTTGGTTTCTTCTATAGATATATTATAACGCCCCGACCGCCCCTCCCGGTGAGTCACCCATGCCCTCTCTCTGGGCCCGCAAGCCCATCTCGGCCCGTGGGCCTCACCCCTGTCCGACGGCCGGTCCGTTATTTTCGAGAGGCTCTAATGACTTATTTACTATCCCTGCAATCAACACCTGACCTTTCCCCGTGTTTTGGCCTCACTCACACGGTTTCGCAAACCACTTCCCGAAAGGTCACCCATCCTTCAACTACTCCAACACAAGCACGCTTAACTGGAGTTACTTATAGACCTTTGACCGAAAAGGTAAGTGCACTTTGTTGACATAGGTAGCCAAATCAATTCCCTTAAGCCTCTCCACATTTATCACAAAGAGGGATGTTACATATATAACGTTTAGTTATGGGAAAATTGCTCATTTTATTCCCCAACTATTTGCAATGAGAATTTTTATTCCTCAACTATCACTTGCTCACTTTAATTCCTGAAGTTTAAGTTGACTGCGCAAACTCATGATTAAAAAGTTAAACTTTTAATAAAAACGAAAATATATATAGGAAGTAATTTAAAGATTATATATTTCATAGGAAGTAATTAAAATTAGAATTAAGTATTAAGGAAATATCATAATAACAATTATAAAGGAAATCTTTTAAGGTTCTTATGTGGACCAATCAAATTGAATTTTTTATTTCCTTTTTCTGTCATTAGAAAAACAAAATCTATTTTTTAAACACTTTAGTATGAAGAAAAATAAAATTAAGTGTTAAGGAAATATCATAGTAATAACTAAAAAAATAAATTCTTTTAAAGTGATTATGTAGACCAATGAAATTCAGTTTCTTTAATCCTAGTTGAACACTTTTAGAGACTTATAGAATCAACTTTTATTTTAGATCATCGTATTCCTGATAGTAAAATGAATAAAATCATTGTATTCATAATGGTAAAAGGAATCACTATGCAATAAGGAAATTAGAGAAGTGGTAATTACAAAATTAGAATTATCCTAATCCTAATCTTTCTCAAACAATATCCAATTTGTTGGATATTAAAAAAAAATGTAAATTTGCTAATAAGAATAAAAAGGAAAATAGGAAATTAATTATTCAAAAAAAAAATAATGACATGGACCAATCAAATTCAATTTTAGAATCCTAGGTGGACACTCTCTAATGCATATAGGGTCAACTTTTATTAGTAATAGATAGATAGATATTGAATAGCTGGTCTATTTTCTATTTTTCCTAGATAGTGTCTATGGAATAAATGATATCATTATAATCCAAAAAATCGTGTACTTTTACTGAAATAATTAGGAATAGTTGGTGTTGGAAGTAATACTAAACATATCAGTCAAGAAATGTCACGTTCGCACTAGCTAGCTAGAAGCCTAGAATATTAAACTGATTAAGAGTATTGAGATTCCCTAAGTTATCTGAAAGAGTGAAAGAGATCAGCAAATTTATCTGAAACTTTGAGATTGGTTTGTAGGACAGCAGTTGGGTTTAAACGGACGCAAACCTAGCGTAAGTGGTGTACAACGCGCAAAGGTTGGCTCGAAGACACTCAAGATCTACCGGAAAACTATACGTCAAACAGAATCAGCGAAAGATTAGAAGTACTAGGAGAGTCAGTCGCCTTTGGAGTAACCCTAGAGCGTCTGCGTTGCATGATGTGCGCTCTAACAGAGTCTGTAACTGTGATGAGGAAGGGTTTAGATTCGCTACTCTTCAAAAACCATCATTAAAATGAAAGTCTTAATGGATGAAAAAATATTATTCTCGAACAAGTGTAATGAAAACATGGATAAATGTACGTAGTAGCTCTTTGACGATACCCTTTGCATTCGGCATATCACACACTTGACAGTTGACACTCCATGCATATACATCAAGAGCTTGCTTACGACTTACGAGTGCTGCATGGAAGGTGAACTAATCAGTAAACTTTATACTAAGAGCACAACAAGCAACATAAAAAATGGGAACATAAAGCTTAATCTGATCAACTTTGGTATTTAACTATTTATTCAACATCATAACAATTACGATAAATATTATAAAAAGCGTATTGATCCAGTAACTAATAATTCTTACACAACCAATAAGAATTGCAAACATAAGTCAATATACCAATCATTATAACTGTTTAACACAGGAGTATGGATCAAGCAGATATGTATTCAGTTAAGATGATAACGAAATACAAATTCACATTGAAATTCAAATTTGCATATTATCTACTACTTTAAAGATTTAGGAAAGTCGATTCCAATCAGCTATACCGTTTCGTGATTAGATAGCTACACAAGTTGCAAAATTTGATCAACGGAGATGGCAGTGTTGGTTCACAACCCATACGACATTCTTTTGTTTTTCTTTGACATAATGCATCTGCTGAGGGATACCTTTTAACAAAAAAAAAAAAAAAATATATATATACAGTAAATGGTGAAGGAAATATAGTATCTGTTTCGTTATGTAATTTCTTTTTGGATTTGTGCTCTGTTGTTTTCTTTCTTGGTATATAGAGATGGATCAGTTTGTTCTTTCGTGTGGTTAGGAACTTGGTATATAAAGAAGAAAATACACTCACATGATGACAAAGATAACTAGATAAGAGGTTTATTTAGTTCCAAAAATAAAATAGGACAAGATTGATGAAATTAAAAAAACCAAAAATCTTACACAAGCCTAATTAATAAGAGAAGGATTTGAGATCGTTAAGCGTCTCTTTATTTGGCGTAGCGTAAGCGTAACGACTCGGTGTTCGTTGATTCAAACTGAATAGCCGAACAGAGAGTAGCTTGAAGCTCGTTGATTCACAAGGAATAGCCGAGAAACAATTAGATGCTTGTAAAAGCTCTGAATAATTCAATAACTGTCTTTCAAGTTACACAAGAGAAACTATAAATAATGAAAGCGACAAACGAAAAACCTAGACGTTTGTAAAAAGGAAATAACAAGAACATAGCTTAAAGCCCAAGCAAACGCTTAAGACTCGAATAACTAAAGAAAAGCCCATACGAATAATATAAAAAGAAAGATAAAGAAGATAGTAGTAGAGATGCGCTGCATCAGGTCTCCCCGGGTTGGAGAAGATTCTACCCCGAATCTGGTACGGTATTGTCGCCATGAAACTTCGAGAGGTACTTGACATTGAAGACGTCGGCAGTCTTGATATGAGGAGGAAGTCGGAGACAATAAGCATTGTTGTTAATACGCTCTAAAACTTCAACGGGACCAATATTTCTTGAGCCAAGCTTGTTATACTCATGAAGAGGCATGCGATCCTTGGTTAACAACACCCACACCATTTCTCCTGGTTCAAAAATGAGTTCACGACGCTTAGAATCAGCTCTCGACTTGTACTTCTGGGCCGAAAACTCCAGTTGATCATGTGCTTGCTTGTGTGTATCACGTAAAGAATCAACAAACTCCACAGCTCGGCCATGCATACGTTTACAATCGGGAACGGTTGTAAGGTCGAGAGGTCCACGAGGAAGGAGACTGTAAACCACCTCAAACGGACTAAAGCCCGAGCTCCTATTAGTAGCGTGATTGTGTGCAAACTCTGCCTGACACAAACGAGACTCCCACGACCGAATATTCTCACCCACAAAACAACGTGAAAACAAGATTTTTAGTAGATCAAACCCTCAAATCTCTGCTCATATCATTGCAGTATAGTTTAAGGTATCAATCCAAATCTCGGAGAAGATTGGGTTTTAAAGATTGAACAAGAAAGACTTCAAGCCAAGAACAAGATTTGGTTTTTATGAAATCCGAACGTTAAACAGTAAAATACAAACTTAGAACAGTGAAATAACGGTCCAAATCCGAAATTCAAAGAGGAAAGAAATCGACTTTGAGCTAAAAGACTTGAACTTTATGAAGGAAATGAAGAAAGGCGATGGCTTTAGGTGATTTCGGATGGAAATCGAGCTAAAGGAAGAAGACTTTAAGACTTAGAAGATAAAACCGAGTTTCTAGGCTAAGGAAAACGAAAGCAAGAGCTTATCACTATCGTGAATGAGCTCGAATGCAAGGTTCAAACTCAAGAGCTGACTATCGTCAGTGAGCTTGTACACAAGCAAGCTTTAAACGCAGATCCCAACACCAAAGAACCCTCTAAACAAACCGCTATCGCGGGCTAGAGAAGTAGATCCCTTGTCTTAGATTTCTAGCTCTCAAACACACTTTTGTTGTGTTGAGAGCTTGAGATCCGAGCCAGAATGATCAGAAATGCAGCCTTAAGGATACTAAGCAAGGAGAAACTCTAAAGGTCCTAGCTTTAAGCTCAAACTCTCCTTTAAAGCTCTCAAAACCGAATCACCTAAAACGATCTAAAGACTACTCACTCATCCTGTTTGACAAACCGATTCTCATAAGAGGAAGGTTGTTAAACAAGTAAATGAGATGAAATGAAAACGAGTAAACAAGTACGTGATTTGATTAAAGGAAAAGATCCAAAGCTTACAAAGTCTAAGATCTCAACTAGAGTATTTCTTGGTGGCAAAATGAAAGACAAATTACAAGATGCCTAAAAACTTAGGACTTTTTAGTTTATATAGTGGAGACTCTAAAACCCTTCTTCTTTCCTTCCCCAAGATTTAAGCTCCAAAACGCCGCGTTTCACTTAGGCATGGTCAACTCTCTTCTTGGTCAAGGAAAGCTTGTAAGGCGAAACGGGTTCCTGATCCTGGTTCGCATCCTGGTTGCTCTTCGTCTTGACGTCTCCAACACTCCTTCTCCCAAATGGCTCCAAAGCTCCATTAAGTACCTGATTCAGACTCAAAATGCAATGTATATGCAATGCAAGTCCTAATGAAGATGCAAATGTATAGATAGAGATATATGGATATAAATGTATGAGAATGAGCCAAAGGTGGAAATATGCATGTAAATGTATGCTAATATATGTTAATATATGTGTATATCAACACCCCCAAACTTGAATCTTGCTTGCCCTCAAGCGAGAAGACCAAATCTGAGAGATGCTGATATGTCGAGGACTCAAAACTCAAGAGTGCAATGAGAGGAAATGAAGTCAATGATCAGGTTGAGAATCATAAAATGCAAGGCGAATGAGCTCTACTTCCAAAATTTTAGCCACACCCATCAAAGCAACAGAAGACACTAGACTCAACTTCCACAATGCATTCAAATAACTCTCATCCTTTAACATTCAATTATACAGAACCGTGAATCAACCACTCATGCATTTCAAAGTACTCGCTTGGCTTAAAGGGATAAGTTTCAAAGGACAAAGATGGTCCTGTTTTCTGGTTTCAAAATCAGCACAAGGGATCTCTCAAAGAAAAGGTTGAGCTTTAGTAGAATGCTAAGGGTAAAAACCAAGGATGATACAAGGCTAGACTTCCATCTACCCGAGAACAATGAAGCACAATCCCCTGTTTCCCAAGAATCCTATTACCCAAGAAGCAAACTTGCTTTTACCCTTTTTCTCTTTTTCTTTTTTCTTTGCTTTCAAGTCTTAGGAGAGGTTTCTAAACTTCATCTAGCGGTTTGGGATTTCTTTTTTGGCTTTTTAGGCTCTTTTCTAAACTTGGCTTTTGCCTTTCTTTCTTTTCTTTTTTCTAGCTAGAGCTTTACTTTCTTTCCCAAACCTTCACTAGAGCTACACTTTCACTACTCTCTCCTAAGAGACTCGGCTTAACTTTTCTTCCCTTTTTAGGACTTTCCTTTGGAACTCTCTTTCTTCTTCTTCCTTTTAGAACTTCCCCAAGCCCAAATGGTGTTTCCCCCAAACTTAGTCCTAACTAGCTCAAAGGAACCGAGCTAGAATCTACATGGAAGCCTAGACCTTGTCGGTAAAAACCCAACACTTTCTACCAAGCTCAACCAAAAAGGCCTCACACACTCAGAAATACAATTGGTTTCAAAGAAAGGTTGGTTCAAGGTGGGGAAATCTACTTGGATTAACAAGAGTGGTGAAAAGGGTGAAAGATAATCCAAGTATGTATATGTATCCACGAGTTCTTAGCAAATGCACAAGGATGATAATTAGACATCAAATTCAGGTTTCGATAAGCAGGATGAGAGATCAAATCACAACAATGCTTCAGCCGATCTAGATGTCAAAGAGTGCATTCAAGGTGTGGTTCTTTCTTAACTTCAAGCTCACTCTATATGCACCAAATGATTCAAAACCGGATCATTGAAACCATTTCGAAAAATCACAAACTTTTATTCCTCATTGTCCTCTATGCAAATGGGATGATATGCATCTAGACTCAATCCTAAAATGCAAATGCTCATGATGCTTTTCTTTTTGGTGGAATGCAATTTTCGAAATTTTTCAATTTTTTTGGTTTTTCTATGCCATATATGCAAATGCAAACTACATGAGACTCAAGGATGAAAATTGAAAATAAGATTCACAGAAAACATGATCAAATGCTATGGACCTCTCCCCCAAACTTAAAGTGCACAGTCTCTTGTGCACATAAGAGAGTATGAAGAAGAGATCCATCAAAGAGATGCAAAAACAGAAAAAAAATAAAAATGAGTGGTATTTACAATGATTTGAGTCTTACCTTTTATTGTCAGGGTAGGGTGGTGTGGGACAATCGTCAAGGTCGATTGGCTCCGTTGAAGACGTTGGAGGTGGTGATCCGGTTTTTCTCTTCCGCTTGCTTCTCCTTAACGGCTCTGCACGGTTTTGCTTGGTGATGCGGCCTTTGGTTGCTTTTGGTGACTTGCAAGAGAGCTTTCCTTGAGACATTGACTGTCTCGGTGAGCTTCTTGATCACCTCATCTTGTTTCTTGCACCACCTTTGAAGCATGCCTATATGCTCGTGTGCCTTGATGATCGCGGAACGCTTCCACTGCGTTGTACGGGATGAAGTCGAACTCCCAAGCTCGCTTGTTGCCTTGAGGAAGGCTCTCCTCGTTCGCGTCCTTTTCTTCATGACCGTGGCATCGCCTCCATCCATAAACAACTGATCAGCCGAGGGGAGAAACAGGATTCCATCCCGGCTGTTGGTGTTTGTAAGATCGGTGTTCGGAAGAAGGATCTTGAGATGCCAAATGTGGGATGTTCGAAGCGATAGATGTGCTTTCCATCATGCATTCCACGCAGGAACCATGTCTTGTTCAGGTGGGCAATGTCCATGAACTTGGGTGGATGAGAAGGGGCCGGGAGCTTGACTTTGTGGCTAGTAAGATCAGGAGTGATCATGCTGCCTATTGCCAAAGTGATTCCTTTATCTTGCCCTGTTCGTATAACAGCTCTGTGTTCCTCATGATGTGCTTGAAAGAGCTAATCATCACCACTGCCTTGCTTGCGTGCTTCAAGTCTCCGCTCATCCCTTCTCCGTCGTCCAGGGTCACCAACTTCTGGATGATCCCGGTGTCAAGCAGCTCAAGCTCCTGTGTAGTAACATTCGAGCACTCGTGCCTCGCAAAGAGAGTGTGAGCAATCGCCTTATGAGCGTAGCGGATGGCCGGGTTCTTGATGTGACAACTCTTGTTCTTTGAGATCTGATAAGACCTCGAGCTTATCATCCTCCAAAGGGCATGGAGCTCTGTTGCGGGTACACACATCTCGGTGTCAAGACCCACATCCTCCTCCAACTTGTAGATGGTTTCCTGCTCCATCATACTGAACAGATATTCATGTACCCGATTCCATCTCTTTGGAGCTCAGCAGCAGCTTCTTGAGGGTGTTTCTTGAGCCAACTTCATGTCTTATGGTCCACTTTCAGAGGAGTATAAGGAGTATATTTTTGCTATTACATTACTTCCTGAACCGGCTTCGTTCAAGGATGCCCTGAAGTTTGATGAATGGATTCAGGTCATGAATGAAGAATTAATGGCTCTCGAGAAAGACTGACACTTGGGATATTTGCTCTTTGCCACCAGACAAACATGCTATTGGCTGCAAATGGGTGTATAAACTCAAGCTGTTGGCAAATGGTTGTTTGGAGCGCTACAAGGCTAGACTCGTTGCCAAAGGTTACACGCAACAAGCTGGTGTGGATTTTGTTGATACTTTTTCTCCAGTGGCGAAAATGACAACTGTCAAGACTCTTTTAGCAGTTTCAGCCGCAAAAAATTGGAGTTTGACTCAACTGGATATCTCCAATGCCTTTCTCAATGGGGATCTTGAAGAAGAAATTTACATGACTCTGCTCTCAGGTTACACACCTAAAGAGGGAGTCACTTTACCTCCAAATAATGTCTGCAAATTGAAGAAATCATTGTATGGCCTTAAACAAGCCTCACGACAATGGTTCATCAAATTCAGCACCACTCTTTTGAACTTGGGATTCAAGAAGTCTCATGCCGATCATACTTTGTTCACTAAGCTCATTGATGGTCGTTACATTATTGTTCTGGTATATGTTGATGATATTATCATTGCCAATAACAATGATGCAGAGGTTAAGCAACTTATCACAGATTTGAAGATGGCTTTCAAACTCCGGGATTTGGGTGAATTGAATCACTCGTCTCGAAAAGGCATCTCAGTCTGTCAAAGGAAATATACTTTGGAGTTAATTGCTGATACAGAGATGCTTCCTTGCATACCTTCGAGCATCCGCATGGACCCAAGTATAAAGTTGGTTCATGATTCTGATGAACCTGTTCTTGAAGATATAACTTCATATCGCCGTGTGGTGGGGAAGATGATGTACCTGACCATAACTCGACCTGATATCATCTATGCCGTGAATCGATTATGTCAGTCACATCGGCACCAAAGGCATCGCATATTAAAGCTGCTCACAAGGTCCTTCATTACTTGAAAGGTACCATTGGTCTTGGAATCTTCTATTCGGCTGATTCAGATTTGCTGTTGAAGGGATTTTCTGATGTTGATTGGAACTCTTGTGCTGATACACGACGCTCCACCCCTGGTTTTTGCATGTTTCTTGGACCTTCCCTCATCTCTTGGAAATCTAAGAAACAGCAAACATCTTCTCACACATCTGCTGAATCCGAGTATCAAGCTATGGAGTTTGCGGTTCGTGAAATCACTTGGCTTGTTAACCTTTTGACAGAGTTTTAAGTGAAGCAGCCGCAGCATGTGGCTTTCTATTGTGACTCTACTGCAGCTATTCATATTGCGAACAATGCCGTCTTCCATGAGAGGACTAAGCATGTGGAAAACGATTGTCAAATCGTAAGAAACAAGATTATTAGTGGCTTGATCAAGACTTTACACGTCCGTACAGATACTCAACCTGTGGATGTGTTCACGAAGCCTTTGTTTCCAGCTCAATTTTAATCTATCATAGGCAACATGTCGCTTATGTCTAGATACTCGCCATCTTGAGGAGGGATATTAGAGTATGATTGTAATTGAACTAAACTGGTTGGTTATTGTGTGTAGGCTAAACCGGAAACAACTCTTGTATAAAGAGTAAAGTTGTAACACATATCAACAACAGAAATTTTATCTATTTGAGCTCGTCTTCTTCAATGCTTCTTTTTCTCTAATATTTTCATCTTTATCATCATGAAACACTTCAACAACAACAAACCAAAAAAAAAAAAAAACGCTTCCATTTGATATTTAAAGAAAATACAATAACTTATGAATGATGTTGATCACATATGACTTGCATCTTGAGCTTGCATGAAGCTCCTCGAAGCTTCATCACATCTTCTGTGAGTCGCTGCACCAAGTTGGGGTCATCCATTGCAGGTGAAACATAAACTCTCACCACTTCAAGACACTTCATTTTCAGTAAGAATCGGCTAATGTGTTTCAGCTCGTTTGCACTTCCATGATATTGCATGACATTGATAATCTTTACTCGGCTATTTAAGGGAATGCGAATCCCTCCAAATCCACAAAAAATATCCAGACCCTAATAAAGCATCAAAAGAGCAGAGAGTATATTTTAAATGTCATGCATGCAACACTCATATATATATATATATATATATTCAAAGTAACCAAAGTTTGCTTCATTACCGAGAGAATAAGAGTTTCAAGATTAGGAGAATGATCCATCAGACGTGGCAGCAACTTTTTCCAGCCTCGCTTCTTGCGACTTGAAAACACTAACTCAACAAGATTGTTGAAAACCGGAAGTCCACCTTTGCAGCATTCTGAAATCACCTGAAACACACACACACAGACAAAAAATGTTCTCTCTGTTTCTAACCCAAAAAATAGAAGAAAAATGTTGTATGCAGTGAAAACTGACCTTAACAGCAGAAGAAGTCAAGTGAAGTTTCTTGACATTGCGTATCAGTTTGATGAGATCCGTCACGTCCGGGTCAAGATCCGGAACATCCGTCACATCCGGGTCAAGATCCGGAATATCTTTCAAGAAATGAAGGTCAAGTGTAGCTTCGGCAAGTGAATCAAAACTTAACTCTGAATACTTTCCCAGAGCATAATCAGAATAGTAGAGTTCGACAACATTCGGCATGTCAATTTTCATACAGAAATACTGTTCAATAAACTCAGCACAGTCATAAGTGAGTGAGAGCTTCTTAACGGTTTTGGTAGATATTAAGTCTGGCATTCCTGGAAAATCCTTGTGATGTATGGTCAAGTCCTCAAGTAAAGGGCAAGCAGCGATGAACACACTAGAGAATTCGTCCACCTCAAACCATATTGTATCAAGGAAGAGAACTTTTAGTGATGGGAGATTTGTATCCTTAGGAAAAGAATCGATGCTGAGTTTTGTTCCCAATGAGAGCTTCACAAGAGTTGTGCTGGTGAATACTCCGGATGGGAAGAAACAACGCGCTTCAGACTGTGATTTGATACTCAAGTGAAGCTCAGAGACACAGCGTTCAAGGGCACTGCATATCCAGCGGTCAACATGAGCCTCGTCATCTCCATCATCACATTTTAGTGAGAACTTCTTTAAAGGGACACTGCTTTCCAATTGCAAAGCCAATGTTCTGTCCACGAAACGCATGAAACTCTTTCGGATATCGTCCTTATTCCCTTTACCTTCTTCTTGGGGAGAGGTGATGGACTCATCAAATTCAAGATGATCCCGGATAGCAAACAGAGTCCTCCACCTCTTGGAGAGAGGTGATGTTGAAGCAGCTTCTTTGGTGGGTAAAAAGGCCAAGATTTGGAGCAGAAGCTCATCTGGAAGACAATCCATCGAAGTCCGTTGTGGAACCTGAAACAATTAGATTTAAGATCCCTTAATTAAACACATTGCAACCAACAAGTATGCAGCAAAAGGACAAGACGTTGAAGATTCAGACAACCTAGACAAAGTACAAAATTGCCTCGACAAAACCTCACAGACGGTTAGATCCAGTTTCCAGGTTTGAGAGATAGATGGCAATCTGAGGAATCTAATTAACAATTTTGCAACAGAATAAGAGAGTTCAAAAAATTAAGACTTTAAGGTTCGATTCAAACTCCAGATTGAGAGAAAAAAAACCGTAGAGAAATCATTCAACAAATCAAGGGAATATGACATACAAGACTTACCCGATCCACAACTTCTTCTCCATGTCCCATATCAAGGTTCAGTTCTGAATCTGTTTTGTTGTTGGTCTGCGACTTTAGAGGTTCTTTTGTTTTCTGTGGTCGAGGATAATCTCTGTTCGTTTTTTTCTTCCCTTGAGTTTTAGATTTCCTTTTCTCGTTTTCAGAAACAGATGACGTAATGTACTTTTAATGCTTCATTCTTTCTCTTTTTTGGGATATAAATATAATATATATATATATATATTTTTTTTTTTTTTTGCTTTTTGCTCTAAGTTTTACTTTATCACAAGGGTATGATTTATTTTAATTTTGGAGGTTCTTTCTTTAGTTTTTCATAATTTGGGTATTTATTCTTTTAATGGTGGAAAAGAAATAAAATATGAAGACAAAACTACTAATTTCGTCGACATTTTAGATGAAAACAATAATTCAAAAAGTTACATCTACTTTGCGACAATTTAAATTAAAAAGATGTAAATTTGCAAATAAATAATTTGTCAAAAAAAAATTGTCGTAAAAATGGTTTGATCAGTCTTGACGACGAAACAATTTTGTTGTAAAATAATGTTACAATTACGATAATTTAGCCACCACCCTATATATAAAAAGTAAGTGTCCTTTCTTATGGTGTTGCCAAATATCATAACTAGGAGGTTTAAAATTTTTACATGTCATCACTTTATTTGTTAATTTAAAAAAACTGACATTTTCATTGATATGTTTAATATTACTTTCAACACCAACTATTTTTAACTATTTCAGTAAAAATACATTATTTTTCGGAGTGTAATTATATCACTTATTTCATAGACACTATCTAAGAAAATACATCAGCTATTCAATATAATTGTTTTTCGATAAAATAAAATAATTTGGAGTATAATATAACTAAAGAAGAAAATATTTACAATATGATAAGACCATTTCATTTTTTGAGTTTGCTCTCTCCTCTTAGAGTGTCCACATCAGCAAAAAAAAAACATAAATTAATTAAATTAAAATTAATGATTCAATTAATACATACACTTTCATAATATCATTGAATGATTTATTATTCAACCAAAAATATAAAAATGTATTAAAAAAGAAATGATTAATAAAAATATAAAAGAAAAAAATAAATAAAAATTGGTTGAACTTAATATTTAAAAGATTAAAAGTTAATTTTTAACAGTAGATGCAAGAGATTTGTTTTTAAAAGAAAAAAATGTACTGAAAATGTCTAAAATTCATAATAATATATATTATGTAAAAAGATAGTGTATGTGATAAAATTTCAAGCAAAAAGTTTAACTGTTGGAAGCTAACATTTAAATTTAAATAAGAAAAATAAGTTATATATATAACTAAATTATTGACTATTTCTAACATTAAAAAAAAATCACTCAATTTTTTTTGTTTGTATAAATATTTAATAAATAAACATCAATATCATATATACAGAACAACACATAAAGGAAAAACATTAAGAGCACAAGTTTGTAAAGTATATAAATAATGATGAACAACCAAAAATATATGCAAACAACCCCGCGCTTGCGCGAGTACAATTCCTAGTACTAATAAAGCACAAGTCAACTCATGGCTTATATGAATGACACATGTTTTTCACTATTTCTTTTTTAGTTTTTTTTTTTTCCTATGGTTTTTTCCATTTCTTATTTTCCTTTTTTCTGAAATTTCCTTTTTGTTCCACGAGACCACGATCTGAAACCGCTACATCACCACGATCTTCAAACTGTAAAATCCACTTTTACCCTGAATCTCTCAAATCTGCAGAGACAAACGAAACCACCTAAATCTATTCATCTTGAACCACTGTTTTTTTTATTTTTCTAGATCTCCAAATTCATCTTTCTCCTTTCGAAATCGGATTAATTTCCTGGGCTTTGACGGAGGAAAGTCGGATTCCGATGGTCGACGTTGGGGTTATTCAAGCCTTCCCTTGCGAAACTCCAATGGTTAAGCTAACTCTTCCTCCTCCTCTTCTATGGCTACTTCTTCTTCCTCCGCATCATCTTCTCATCTCAATCAAAATTACATTCACCAATCTCGCCATTTTCCCTATCATGACCTCCTGTCGTTGGAGGATTGGGTCAAAACCATCATCAACCCGCCGCGACGATCCCTTTTGTCATATGTCACAAGATCACTTCTCCGAGTTAAATGAATCTTACCACCATCGAATCGTGTTTTCTCTCATCTCTTCAATTTCTTAAATCAGTTTCATATTCCATATCACAACAAATTTCTCGATTCATATTACATTTTCTCAGATTCATCAGTAAAATTTTGTGTCTGATATCTAATTGTGTTCATCTCTATTACTCTTTTTCGTATAACCGAGGATCAGCTTCATAAGTTACTTAAGCATCTTATTTTCATACTCATTTCAATGTTTTATCACATTTACTTACTGTCTGATTTTGTCAACATGTCTTAGATTAATCATGCCTTTGGATTATACTCAGCTCAATTATTTGTAAAAAAAAGGAAGATTAGAGCTTTGATATCTCGAATTTGGGTTCAACGTAATAATCTTCCAACTTCATATGAGTTCTCTTCTAATTCTGTTTTTACACAAATTCTTACTGCGTTATTGTATTCATCGATCCATTTAAGTAGAAAAATTATTTACTATCGTTGATATTTCTTTTAAGTTGACTTTTTTTCCAGTTCCAAAATTGATGGAAGCACAAGTTAAGAAACAATTTTGATAATCAAATTTCATGTTGTCTCTGTACTTCAGTATTTTGTGAATTCTTTTCAATTGCATAAAAATATGATTCGCCTATTGTATCCAACATTATGTGTAGCATTATAAGAAAATAAAAAAGTAAAATCTCATCTTAGAGTTGATTTTCTGGATGTTTGATAACAGTATGCATGCTTGCTCTAGCGACTCTAATGATGAGATTACAAATATTTAAAAATTAGAGTACCCCATGCATGTTTTCATATTTTAGTGTGGATTTAGATTCATCTCTTGGATATGTTCATGATTGTATTGTATCATGTCGCTGCCATATCATCTACTTCAAGTGACAAATCATAAAAGATGGCTCTCCTACTAATTTAGCAAATCACCATTTCCGAGCTTTGTACTCCATCAAGAAACAACTCTTCCTCAGGTTTGCATCTCACGAAATATAGAAAAGCTGTTTGTGTAACAGTGCTTTGTCTTCCAGAAATTGGGTTTGAAATGGGTGCTGGTATCATTTCTACCATCTCCTACCTTCAAGTTGCTACATGTTGCAGGTCTCTGTCCTCAGTTGTGTTGTTGTTGTTGGCCTTATTTTTAGATCTTTCTAACTCTGTTAATTGTAATAGAGTAATTAGGGAAGCTTCCATTAATGGACTTTCCCACACGGTTCTTTTTTATTCTTCTTTTCTATACATTCCAACATGTTTTTTTATCAACGATGTAATGTTTCGCTAAATTTATTTGATGAACTATTAAGTAATAACTACTTTTTTCTTTTCTTTTGTTAATTGTTACATTTGTAAAAAAAAATTGATATCACTTGCTACTACTTTCCTCTACCATCGTAAATGATAAAATCAAGATTGAATCAAAGAACAATTTTGAGTAGTTTGGGTGTACTAAAGATTTTATACATCTCACTGCAACTACCTTTTATTGAAGAAATGCAACCAAAAAAAGAAATCGGTGCATAGCACCGGGCAAAATCTTATTATATAAAGCTGGATGCGCACGACGTGGTTGCGACACATAGGATTTTTATAAAATTCAGGATCGCGACATGTGTCACTTTTAATGTTAAGTCCGTTAAGATCATGACACATGTTTTGAAAAAAAAAATATTTTATTTTAGTTAAATATTAGAAAAACGAAAATTAAGAAAAGAAGAGGAAATTTTAATCTATTATATTTGTGAAATCCTAACAGAAAAAGGATTCTCCATTCATCAAAATTATATTATCTTAACACATATTAAATTCAAAATAATGTAATAATAAATTTCTATTAGTACATGAAATAAATTATGTAAACTAAATTTCCTATAACTGCATGGAATATGTTAAGTGAACCCCTATAAAAAGAAATTTAAGGTAGTCTATTTTTTCTCATCCACAAACTCATCAAATCTTTTTAATTATCTTTCTCTAATTAAAAAATCATGTCTTTGAAAGTTCAAAAAAGGTGGAGAATATTTGACTGTAAGTCAATTGGATCGAAATAGATACTATCGCCGTACTATACATGTTATTCGAAAGTGGAAAGCTAGAAATCCTAAAGAAAAAAAATTATTTGTGAGAGTTAAGTTTTTATTACTTGATGGAAATGTTATTAACATATTATATTGATATTTATTATATAAATATGTATATAATCATAGATTAACATTAAATTTTTACATTTGTTTGAATCAGGAAAACACAATTCAAGGACAAATAGAAAAAAAAATAGCAATTTAGAAAAAATGTTACATCCATTAGGAAAATGAAAAAGAAAACATATTCCCAATACGAAAAGGAATAAATCAAAAATCAGAAAAAAACATGAAGCAAAAAAAAAAACAATTGTTACACCCATTAAAAAAATGTGAAAAAACATATTCCCATTAAGAAAAGGAAAAAGAAAAAAATATATAATAATAAGTTATAGCCTTCATGATTTATATGTGTAATTCTATCTTTTGTTTAAACTTTATCTTTTATTACAAAATAGAAAATCATATATTTTAATGTTCAAGATATCAATAAAGAATATTTAACTTTAGATCAGTTGGGTTGAAATTGAAATTTTTGTTGCACCATTTTTCTATTATATGATCATGTGATAACATGTGTTAACAAAAGAAAATTATAAAAATATAATCACATAAATAGAAAACTAACAAAATAATTGTAAAACAACTAACGAACTATGAATAAGAAAATTTTTATGGTCTGAGGCAAAACAAAATTGAAAAAAAAAACATGATAAATAGAAAATTAACAAAAAAATTATAACATTAAATATATAAATAATTGACCAATATTATAATTTTAAATATATTAATTTTCAATTTTTTGGTAGGTAAAACAGTATTAAGAAAAAGATTTCATCAACTAAAATCTCTTAAATAGAATAATCAAATTTTCATGAATTAATTAGCCTATCAAATTTAGATTAGATACGTATAAGTCTTTCTATATTAGATAAAAGAAAAAGAAAATAAATTAATTCATTTTCATATCATTAATTAAAACAAAATGTTAATTGTAATTAAAATGTAAAAATATTACCAGTTTTATTTTATTTAGAGATTTGTTATCGAATTTGAATATTATTCTACTTACTTTTAAAAGTGACAAGATTTGGTTTAATATTTTCCTATTGTTTATTTCAACAATATTAAAACAAACCCGCGTATACGCGGGGCCTAATCTAGTACTAGTATATATTGGGATAAAATTGAATTGTTTTGACTGAGACTTGGCTTGGTAATCAATTGTTTGTTATATGTTCCGAGCCCACAAACCATAAAAAAAAAAGAGAAGAATGTTAGGTAACGCGTGAATTTGCTAGAACTTCTTTTCTTTGTTATTGGTCCAACTAGGAATCGAACCCCCGCAAAATCGCGGGGGCAAAATGTTATACATAAAAATTAAACAAAAAATATCGAATTATATCTATTAGTGAAATTATTTAAAACAAAATAAAACAATGCAAAAATATGATTATCCAAAATGGTTATATATTCGAAATGTTAAATTTATAGTAAATGAAAAATATATTAAAATGTAGAATAAAGATGCAACCCTTTCAAATATAAATTTCACTTGATTTCTAATTAGTACATATTAGTTCGAAATCTATACTATATAAAAGTTGAGGCTATAAGCCTCTAAGAGCGTCCACATCAGCTTTTAAGAAACCAATTAAATTTTGTCAAATCAGCATTTTAATTTTAAAATCGAAAATTAAATAAGTTTTTAAGAAAAATTACATTATCGTACATATCGTATTAAAGAATGGAAATTGTACTATTGTAAATTTTAATACTTAATTATGGCATAAATTACCTTAATCCATTATTTTTAATAGTTTATGGAAATTCAACATAAAAAAAAGTTAAACTAACAAAAAGAACAAAAAAAGAAAAAAAGAAATTATGAATAAACTGGAAACTCAATGTTGAAAAAGGTAAACTAACTAAATTAAGAAATTAACAATTTAGCTATTTTAATGTTTGGCATTGGCTATAAATAGTCCTCTAAACTTTAGAATACACATACACGAGTTCTAAAGACAACCATATTCTTAGAGAGAGAGCATTTATTAAAATAAGTATGTCTTCTTCCAGCTTTTCTGTTTCTGATCAGTTACGGTCTCCTTTTGTTTTCGCTAAACTCACTAGAGGATTTACTAAGAAAGAGCTGCTTGCTAGAGTCATCCACTTCTGGAGGCAAGAAACCCTAAAAACGGAGGTCTGCCTATAGGATATGAACTGCTTCTAATTGATCAAAAGGTAACACACAAACATTAATCACCAATTATTAGCTTCCAAGGTATCATCAATGCTAAACACATCAATTATGAATTGCAAGTAGACATCACCATCTTTTAAAAAGCATGGAACTTTGGTGATTTGAGGGACTTTTTAAAGATAAAGAGGCAATTTAATCTACCAAATATATATAAAAAGAGCTTTAGACAACTAAAGAACTCGCAAATACTTAGTCAACACAAAAAAGAAAAGAACAAAATCATAAATTAGATAATAAACCTTCACTTGGGTGAGAAACAAGTAACTCGACAAGTACTCGAAAATTGATAAAAGAAAACTCGCTCATGAAGAGGCAAAGTCCTTAGCTTTACCCCAAAACGTTCATCAAAAGGCGGCAATTTTGAAAAACTAGACATCTCTGAGTCTCTAAAACTTGGCGGAGCAGTTGGCATCACCTAAAGTAATAGATTTATCACAAATTTGGATCGGAAGAAATAGACTAAACGCTAAACACATAATCTCAACATCAACAAAACTGGCTTCAAAATAAGGAAAATTCAAACCTTTCACGAAGTGATTAGCTTGAGAGAATCAGTAGAAGAAACAGAGAAATAAAGTCTCGGAAGAGGGATTAAAGCAGAAACTGTTCCGTCAATCAATTGATCTAATTAGTTTTGACAGGTCTCAATCGCTCAGAGGATTAAGGCAAATATCCAAGATGAGAAACAAAGAAGAGGGATCTCGATGATGAGATTAACAATGTTCCGGTGGGAATAAGGTAGAAACATTGTTCGATTTTGTTGTCGGTCAATGAAGAAAGACAACGAATCATTTCTAATTTCAATGTGATAGCAAAACTGAACTGTAACAAACCAAAACAATGGAACCGGGAATCTGGAAACGCGGTTGTTAATTAAACAGGATATGAAAAAGAAAAGTTTGGAATATATGAGATTTTTTAACTATCAAAACAGTTATTTAAAAATAAAGAGATGAATTTATTAAATGGAATTGAATGCAAAATAATTAACTAACAAAAAAGATAAATAAATTAAGTATAAATCATAAACTCAGAGCTGAAAAAGCTAAACTAATAAATAAAATTAAAAAGGAAATTAACAACTAAAATATGTATTAGACTAATTATAAAATTATTAAATTGGTTAAATAAAAAATAATTAAAAAGTATATTACAAAAATTAAAAAATTGTGAAGAGTTAGTAAAAAAATAATAATAGTTTAAAAAATTATTAGACGAGCGGGTCAAAAACCTACTAGTAAGAAACAAAGGAAAATCATATAAAACATAAACATTTAACAACACTTACCTAAGTAAAGAAGAAATAAATATGGACATTGTCAATCATGAATCCCACGTCTTCGTATAAAACATAATTTTATAATAAAAAATTTGCAACAAAATGAGTAGTTTATTTAGGTGAAAATATTTTACTCAAAACTATAAAGACTTAAGACCCAACCTAAAACGTATCATAATAGTATGAATTCCATAATAGTGAATTCTTAATTTCAGAATGAAAATCACAATTGATTTGGTATAGTTCAAAGTGGAATTTCTTCATTACTTCATATTACGACAATAGATATAACTCATGAAAATGAAAATTATATATTCTCCTAATCAAACGTCTGCTAAATTCTCCTCTTCATATTTTTGTTTTTGTTTCTTTAGATACAAAAAGCTTTTAGATGAGATTAAATGTTACAATGGTTAGTCGAATTGCAATGGATAAATATCAAAAGTTGCAATGATTCATTTAAGCAGTTGTAATCTTTAACAAAAAGATTGCAACGATTCACATATTTTTTTTAACATTTTTCTCTCTTTAAAAAATAATCATAGAATAACTAAATAAACAACACATATGAATCGAATGAGGATTTTAGTCGAATCGCAAGAATCTTACAGGAGTATGAATCAGTTTCAGGTCAGATGGTAAATCTCCAGAAGTCTTCGATTATATTTGGTATGAGAATTCCTCATAGGCAGAAGATGCATTTTCAAAATATTTTGGGTATTCGTAATGTAGGAGGAGGCGGGAAATACTTAGGATTACCCGAGCAGTTTGGGAGAAGTAAAACAGAAGCTTTCCAAGGAGTGGTGAATGGTGTTAGGAAAACAGTGGAGGGGTGGTATAATCAGTATCTGAGTACAGCGGCAAAAGAGGTACTCATCAAATCTATGGCTCAAGCTAAGCCAGTTTACTCAATGAATTGCTTTCTTTATCCAAAGAAAACATGCGAGCAGATTGATAGTATTTTGTCAGAGTTTTGGTGGGGTACAAATGACAGTGGAAGAAGGAAGATATCTTGGATTGCATGGAAACGGTTAGCTGTATCAAAGAATGAGGGAGGCTTGGGGTTTAAGGATCTACATGGTTTTAATTTAGCATTGCTGGCAAAACAAGCTTGGCGAATGCCCCAAAGTATGCAGGATTTGCGATATCAACATGTCACTTCTTTTTTTTTTTTCAACATGTCACTTTTGCGGCTCCACGATCCTCAGCAATGGCCGGCCCTCACGGGACATATGGCGAGTTTATTAAGGTTTACAATCGACAAGATAGGATGGGATATCTCCTTTGAAGTTCATATCTTGCGACAGACTACATTCATATGTGGCCACAGGAGCACCAGATTGGCTGAAGCACGTATTGGAGAATGATAACATTTTTGTGTGAAGTGTAAGGATACCGCTACCTTACTTTGCCTTCATTATCGACATGGAAAGAGCTCGGAGAATGCTCTACCTTTTTAAGTTGTTTTTGAGTTTACCTTTCCTTGGTAGCCACGTTTTACGTTTTTCTCGTGTGAACTTTTGCTCTTCATGAGTTTCAATATTAATTCCAATTCAGTGAAAAACAAAAACTTTTTACGTTGTTTGCGATGCCGAAACCAGCGGTCGACCCTCCTTCGTCCTATCATATATGCAAGTCTTATCTCTCTGGGTTGTAATCTACACACAAACTATTTTCCTAATTATGAAAAAATCTCAGTTATAAAATTACGGAAATACAACCAAAACATCAATTATCACAAATTTGCTTGTTTGTTTATTTGTGTTTCACAAATTCGGTCTATGAATATAGGAATCATACCTTGCAATCTTCTCACGATGTACATAGAGGTGGCTTTAATTTCATGATCAAGGTCACAAGGTGTATGGTTTGGTATATTGGTTGTTACTCCGGAGTTCTTGTTATCACGCCAATTCATCGGATACAGTCAAAATCAATGTGGCATACCTTCTTGACCACCGGAAAAAAGTGTTTCTTATATTGGCAAGCGAGAACTCAACGGGACTGGATTCAGCGGAAGCATAGTCACAATACATTCATGACTCTGTCATCGCTCTTGCCACATTATCCAGAAAACTAAATCATTTATGAAACTTTGACACAATTGATAAATCCTGCACTTTTCGTATGTTTTTAATATTCTCTTCAACATCAAGTGAAGTTGAGAAAAGAAAAAGGAAAAGGTTGAATCATTCAGCTTGCTATTATGTTTAGAAAATTAAAAGATACGAACTAAATTCATAAAAAATGGGAGAACAATATACCACCCTTTAGTCTTTTCCAAATTCATAAGAACTTCATACATATTTTCCAAATTCATAAGACCTAAAAAATCACTGAATATGAGATTCAAAGGAGAATGCATGCATTTGACTTTTATCAGACACAAGTTGGGTGAATTCTGAAAATTAAAAGAGTTTAAAAGACACTGATGATGAGAATAAAAGGGACAACAAATCAGAGAAAAATAGGACAGAAAAAAAGGACAGAAAAAAATATTGTAATTGAAAGATCAAATAATCTTACACAATATATAGAAGTGAAAAGACATTATGAAATGTTACAACTGTTCGTCAGTTAGGCGGTTATAAACGAAAAGATACTATTCAAAAATATACTATTCGGAAAAACACAACTTTTTAAATGAGCGATTATAGGCAAGACGGTTAAGAACGAAAAGGCACGAACACAAAATGCATTTATTCAGTTTGCTATTATATATAGATTAATAAGTGTATATCGGTTTTTGTTCTCTTTTGTTTGATTTCTTTGCTTTTGGGGGAACTGGGTCCATACATGTTTGTAAATTGTGATATGCATGTCTCTTCTAGTTTCTGGTTTCAGTTATGTTTTAAGTAAACATTTTTTTTTCTTTTTCTTTTGACAACAAACATTAAGTGATGTGTTCTATTAAAATAACCGTGTCACAACAACAATGGAGGATAAAATAAAAAAAAGGTATATTCTCAAAAAAAAAAGACATGAAACTTTATTGAGTAATAAGCTCTAATCAAATAAGCTCAGAACGATGGAAAATAAACCAAAATAAAGAACTTAAAACAAGAAGAGAAAAGTATAATCAGCTAATCCAAAACCAAATCATAAGAAAAAAATGCTTAGTGATGGGGTTGGGGTCTGAATCTGTGTAACCACTTGAAGAGCGGTCCAAAGGTGACGACCTCATCCTCCTAGTCCTCGGAAGAGCTCTGAACAGTGGCCGCACCACCACTCGAAGCTTAAGCCCAGCCTCACATTGACCAGTCTTTGAGCTTATGAAATATTGGATTCCTGGTTTTGTGAGCTTAATGAGATCTTGTCCCGTATTGTGCGTGGCAACAGGAGAAGATGTGTCGCAAGATATGAACTCAAGATCACTGCTGACTTCTAAGACGTCGTTGACTTGGTCGTTGTAGTAGAAAAGAAGATTGTCTCCCACATGAAACTGTTTCTCCTCACTCCACTTGTAATAGAAGTCACTCTCTTCAGGAACACTCCATTCGTTGGAATCACCGACCTTGTAGTTTTTTCCTAGAGGAAGGATCTTTCTCGGTAGTGATGGATGAGACCAGCCACGGACGACAAGAAGTGGAGTCTCTGTCCGGTAACGCATTGAGAATGATTTGAGCTTATGAAGTAGTGAGAGCCTGGTTCCGTGAGAGTCACGATATCGTGTCCTGTGTTGTAGACGGCCTTAGGAGAAGAAGAGTTGCAGAATTCGTATTCCTGAGCATCGGAGACTTGAGTGACGTCGCTGACGTTGCGGTCGTATTTGAAGATCAGAGAATCGCCCACGTGGAATTCCTTATGCTCAGCCCAAGCATAATAGGTGTTCCTTCCTGTGGTCCATCCATCGGAGTCTCCGACTTTGTAGATTTTGCCGAGCAACCAGATCCCATTAGAACCGTGAAGCTCATCACACGAGCACAAAGCAGAAGATTCTTTTTGCAGCCATTCGATCAAAGATCAAGAAAGATCACAACAATATATCGAAGAAGAAATATTTAGGGAGAACTTGAGAGTCAAAGAGCTTTGATGAGTTTTTGAGTGAGAAAAAAAGACTACCCTAGCTCTCTTTTTATAAGCTTTACGTAACCTAATTCTTATGGTTTTAGGAAGACTAATTAATATTTAATCTGCGTTTGGATAACATACTTTCCTTTTTGTTTTTGAGAAAAATAGTTTCCTTTTCCAACTTTGATTCACCCTCTTATCTTGCAAGAAGTAAGACTCGCTTAACGATCTCTACTCCTTATTAGGCTTGTGTAAGATTTTTGGTTTTGTAATTTCATCGAAAACTTATCCTTTTTTTTTGTTGGATTCCCAATGAATTATTTGATATGTATTTTTATCTTTGGTACTAAATAAACCTCTTATCTAGTTATCTTTGTCATCCTGTGAGTGTATTTTCCTTTTAATAGATCAAGTTCCCAACCACAATACAGTAAAACCTCTATAAAGTAATAACGATGAGATTCTAATATTTTATTACTTTAGCGAGATTATTAATTTATAGAGAGATAATTAGACCAAAAACTTAATTTGGGACTCGAAAATTTTATTCATTTATCGAGGTATTACTTTATCGAGTATTACTTTATAGAGGTTCTATTGTAGTATGAAAGAATCCATCTCTATCTACCAAGAGAGAAAAGGGTACATGCATGGAGAGTCAACTGTGTGATGTGCCGAATGCAAAGGGTATCGTCAAAGAGCTATTACATGTAATTTTTGTAAAGATCCTATTTTTTTAAAGAAGATAACTTTTGGAGTGTCCTTATATCATTTATTTCATAGACACTATCTAAGAAACTACACAAGCTACTGCAATATAATTATTTTTCGATAAAATAAAATAACTTGGAATAAAGAAGAAAATATTTACAATATGATACGACCTGAAAAGTCGATAATGTAGGCTATTTTTTTACTCTCATATGAATTGAAATGTTTTGATACTCAAAAAAACTTGAGCTTTTTTGTGTAACATATGGCCTCGAATTATATAGCTTTGTGAAAAAAGGAAAAACAATTAACCGAATTATTATATATGAGCTTGATTATCCTCCATTATATAACAAACCCTAAAGTCGAAATAGATGATAAGACGATCAATAACGATTCAAAATTGAACCTTGATATGGGTCACGGAGAAGAAATTTGCCGATCTTGTAAGTTTGTATATTATCTCCTGCAGAGAAAGCTTCAACCTTTAGTGTTTTTTGTTTTTTTCTGGTTGGGAACCTTAAAGCTTCAACCTTTATGGTTTTTTTCTTTTGGAATCGGATAAGTCTTGTACGTTATATTCCCTTTGATTTTGTTATCAGTCTGATGAATGGTTTCTCTAAGCTTTAGTTCAAATCGAGCCTTAAAGTTTCATCCTTTGAGCTTGTATAGTGTCTCAAAACTGTGAGGTTTTGTTGAGGCAATTTCGTGCTTTGCTAGGTTATCTGAATGTTCCTGTTTCCTACAAAGTCTTTTCCTTTGCTGCATACTTGTTGGTTGCCGAAATTTGTTTGATTACATGTATTCAGGTTCCAAAAAGGTATCAATGGATTGTCTTCCAGATGAGCTTCTTCTCCAAATCTTGGCCATTTTATCTACCAAAGAAGCTGCTTCAACATCACCTCTCTCCAAGAGGTGGAGGACTCTGTTTGCTATCCGGGATAATCTTGACTTTGATGAGTCCATCACCTCTCTCCAAGAAGAAGGTAAAGGGAATAAGGACGATATCCGAAAGAGTTTCATGCGTTTCGTGGACAGAACATTGGCTTTGCAATTGGAAAGCAATGTCCCTTTAAAGAAGTTCTCACTAAACTGTGATGATGGTAACGACGAGGATCATATTGACCGCTGGATATGCAGTGCCCTTGAACGCTGTGTCTCTGAGCTTCACTTAAGCATCAAACCACGGTATGATGCGTGTATGTTTCCATCCGGAGTATTCACCAGCACAACTCTTGTTAAGCTCTCATTGGGAACAAAAATCAGCATCGATCCTTTACCTAAGGATACATCTCTCCCATCACTAAAAGTTCTCTTCCTTGATACAGTTTGGTTTGAGGGGGACGAATTCGCTGATGTGTTAATCCCTGCTTTCCCTTTACTTGAGGACTTGACCATGCATCACAAGGATTTTCCAGGAATGCAATACTTCATATCTAGCGAAACCATTAAGAAGGTCTCCGTTGCTCATGACAATGCTGACTTTGATGATTCGTGTAACTTTTTTCAATTTGACGTACCGAATGTTGTCGATCTCTACTATTCTGATTATGTTCAGGGAAAGTCTCCAGAATTTAGTTTTGATTCACTTGCCGAAGCTACACTTGACCTTCATTTCTTGAAAGATGTTTCACATCTTAACACGGATGTGACGGATCTCATCAAGGGGATACGTAATGTCAAGAAACTTCACTTGACTTCTTCTGCTGTTAAGGTTAGTTTTCACTGAATACATCTTTTTCTTTTGGGGTTAGAAACAGAGAGAACATTATTTGTCTCTGTGTGTGTTTCAGGTGATTTCAAAATGCTGCAAAGGTGGACTTCCGGTGTTCAACAACCTTGTTGAGTTAGTGTTTTCAAGTACCAAGAAGCGAGGTTGGGAAAAGTTGCTGCCACTTCTGATGGATCACTCTCCAAATCTTGAAACTCTGATTCTCACGGTAATGAAGCAAACTTTGGTTACTTTGAATAAATATATGAGTGTTGCATGCATGACATTTAAAGTATCTCCTCTGCTCTTTGATGCTTCAGGGTCTGGATAGTTTCTGTGGATTTGTAGGGATTCGCGTTCCCTTAAATAGCCGAGTAAAGATGATCGATGTGATGCAATTTCATGGAAGTGCAAACGAGCTAAAACACATCAGCCGACTATTACAGAAAATGGAGTGTCTTGAATTTGTGAGAGTTTATGTTTCACCTGCAATGGATGACCCCTACTTGGTGCACCGACTCACAGAAGATCTACAGCGACTCAGAGAAGATGTGATGAAGCTTCGAGGAGCTTCATGCAAGCTCAAGATGCAAGTCATATGTGATCATCTTCATCCATAAGTTATAAACTGTTTTTGCAACCTCGGTATAAAAGCCGGTTGCTGCTTTCTCAACAAAATGGGCTATTTTTTACTGTTTCATATGCATTGAAATGTTTTGATACTCAGAAAACTGTATGGAGTGACTAAGAACTACTTTGCGTAAGTATTTTATCTTATTAAAACAAATTAACATACTGTTTCTATCTAGATTTTGTCAAAGACTAGACCTTAGACTGTGATCGATCAATTGGTTTCCTATCTGGTAGGAATCTTGGGTTGTAACTTGAGCTCTTTTGTGTAACATAATTGGTCGTGTTCGTTTGGCAATGGTTGTGATTCGATTGCCATTGCGACTATCTTTGCAGAAAAAGGGAAAATCATCAACAAAATCCATCAAAGAGGAAACAAACATCAAATATATGACATCAATCTGATTTGAGCTGACAAATAACCGAATCATTTTTTTTTTCAACCAATAACCGAATCAGTTTTAAGTTGGACTTTGCATATTAGGTTTTTCGTTGATGGATTAGACGAACTTGTTCCCTCACCTTCCAGTTCTCTCTCTCTTGCTTATGGAACTCTGATTTCGTACTATTGTACACACCACTTTTGGTTGAATAGGATTTCCTTTTTTCAGTCTAATCGTGATGCATTATTGTATTTTGGTTGCTGTGGAGGACATTTTTCAACGTGCTTATACAAGGGTAACATTAAAAACAGTGAAACATACATCTTAACAAAAGCTGTCAAAGCTGGGGAACAAGGTTAAGTTTCAGGCATACCAATGCTGACTAGCAATGTCATGGGAGTAGTACCATGGGCTCATGCTTCAGGTATATTATTTTTTAATTGGGTTGTTGTTTATATGTTTACATATTTTTTTTTTTGTGTGTAGGAAATTTTCATAGTCGGTTGGATAATGGAGAAAGACACATAGAATGGGTCTTCTTTTTCCAGCAAGATTGCGATTCAAAACAATATAAATGGAGACAGCAAATGGAAAATATATGGGTGACCGATTCAACATCCAGATAACTTTGAGTCTTGCAGCTGGTTTTTGAATTCACAACCTAATGGTGGAAAATGGAAGGTTGTAATGTATTATCATGTATTACTTGCGCACATGTGAGGGTGTTGTTGCATGGAGTCTCTGGTTTAGGCACTTTGTTGCAACAACACAGATTTGGATAACACACTCGTTAACATTTTCCACTTGAATGTTCTTGTAAAGTCCCTTAGTTGTTGTATTAAACATTGCAGATTTTTTTTTTTTGAACACTTGAATTCCATCTCATTGTAAAGAGATTTTGAGTGAACGAAGGTTTTAGAAATTGTTTAGATTATTTTTTTCAGATTTCAAATTACTTGTTCTAGTTGCCAACGTAAAAAAAAATAATTGATTTAGTTTCTTTTTCCAAAAATTTTCTATAAGCAAATTACTTGCTTGTGTATGATCTAAACCCTTCCTCATCACAAGTACAAACTCTATAAGAGCGCACATCATCGAGTATAAAAAGAGCAGGGGCGGAGCCAATAAGGCACTTAGGTGGTCAAATGACCCCCACTAATTCTTAAATTTTATTGAATTTAGGTATATAATTGTAATTTAAAATGATTATTTGGTTAGTTTTTAATGATTTTGACCCCTATTAGTTATAAGTTTCCAAATTTTGACCCTGTTATATATTTTTTCTAGATCCGCCCCTGAAAAAGAGGGTTCCTCCAAAGGCGACTTCTAATCTTTCACTGATTCTATTTGACTTATAGTTTTCTGAATCTTTGCTTTTTGTGAAGCTATTGGGTCTATTCCTAACATGTTTGTGATAAGCATGTCTTTTAGTTTTGTGCTTCAGTTATGCTTTAAAAACACATGAAAATTTATTGAAAAATATGCTCTAATCAAATAACCTCACAACGGTGGAAAGAAATTAAAAAACTAAACAACCTAAAACAAGAAAAAAAGAAAAAGAAAAGTAAACTAAATTAGCTTATAAAAAGAGAGCTAGGGTAATCCTTTATTTTCTCACTCACAAACTCATCAAAGCTCTTTACTCTCAAGTTCTCCCTAAATATTTCTTCTTCGATATATTGTTGTGATCTTTCTTGCTCCTCTTTGATCGATAATGGCTACAACAAGAATCTTATGCTTTGTGCTCGTGATGATGAGCTTCACGGTTCTAATGGGATCTGGTTGCTCGGCAAAATCTACAAAGTCGGAGACTCCGATGGATGGACCACGAAGGAAGGCACCTATTATGAATGGGCTGAGCATAAGGAATTCCACGTGGGCGATTCTCTGATCTTCAAATACGACCGCAACGTCAGCGACGTCACTCAAGTCTCCGATGCTCAGGAATACGAATTCTGCAACTCTTCTTCTCCTAAGGCCGTCTACAACACAGGACACGATATCGTGACTCTCACGGAACCAGGCTCTCACTACTTCATAAGCTCAAATCATTCTCAATGCGTTACCGGACAGAGACTCCACGTTCTTGTCGTCCGTGGCTGGTCTCATCCATCACTACCGAGAAAGATCCTTCCTCTAGGAAAAACATCAAGGTCGGTGATTCCAACGAATGGAGTGTTCCCGAAGAGAGTGACTTCTATTACAAGTGGAGTGAGGAGAAACAGTTTCATGTGGGAGACAATCTTCTTTTCTACTACAACGACCAAGTCAACGACGTCTTAGAAGTCAGCAGTGATCTTGAGTTCATATCTTGCGACTCTTCTTCTCCTGTTGCCACGCACAATACGGGACAAGATCTCATTAAGCTCACAAAACCAGGAATCCAATATTTCATAAGCTCAAAGACTGGTCAATGTGAGGCTGGGCTTAAGCTTCGAGTGGTGGTGCGGCCACTATTCAGAGCTCTTCCGAGGACTAGGAGGATGAGGTCGTCACCTTTGGACCGCTTCTTCAAGTGGTTACACAGATTCAGACCCCAACCCCATCCCCATCACTAAGCATTCGTTTTTCTATTTGATTTGGTTTTGGATTAGCAAGTAGATTTTTCTTTTTCTTGTTTTAGGTTCTTTGTTTTTTTTAATTTCTTTCATCGTTTGTGAGGTTTTTTTATTAAAGCATATTATTCAATAAAGTTTCATGTCTTTTTAAAACATAACTGAAGCACAAAACTAAAAGACATGCATATCACAAACTTGTACGGAATATACCTAGTAGCTCACAAAAAGCAAAGGAAATCGAACAAACGACAGAACAAAAACCAATTCCCTTTAAAACCAAAACCAGTATACATATATATCCTTATATATTTGACCAAAAAAATAAACTTTTTACTATACCAAAGTTTGCATTGCTATACAAACGTGAATATAATTATAATGGAATGTACTTCGTACCTCAAGTTTGACAGTTACGTTGTAAAAACGAGAAGGAATTAAAACAAACCCTAAAATCAATCTCTTAAACTGGCACTCAACAAAGCTCAGATATGCTAAAATATGTGATACTACATGAATTCATCATATATTTGGCTTTGTTTAGGGTCTTGAAGTTCTAGTCTTGTAGCAGAGTGCTAACTTTACGAACAAGTGGCATGTGTACATGGCCAAAATATTTATCTTTCGGTAACGAGCAGACGGGAGTATATCGTTGGCATCTTGCTGGTGCCATCGTCGACTCATATCACAACGTAAGGTAAGCCTCCATCTCAGCTAAACGACAATAGGAAACAAAGTTTTATGTACTCTTTTAGCTTCGTGATCTTGATTAAAACAGAGGGCTAAATTAATAAGCTAGCTCACAATATGATCACCATAGAGCTTTTGATTTGATCGTGTTTCACAGGCGTTGTTGTATTCAGACTCAATGGAGTTATACAAGAATACTACATGATACTTGGCCACTTTGACACCAAAGTATGCAATTGTGTTACCAACAATTTCACAACAGCATTTTGTCGATGAACTATTTGATTTGATATTGTTCGGCGTTGTTTTATTTTTAGTATTGTCAACATATATATACAGAGACCAAGTAAAGTGCTCACTACTAACATTATCAGAACCAATCTCAATTCTCAACTAAGACTGATATACTAGTACCAAGAAATACGAAACCATTCTTCAACGCAAGCAAGAACTACCATTGTAACAGCTCGAAAGCAGTATAAGGAACACACACACTATTTCATAAATGACTAAATCTCTAAATCCAGGTTCTAAATTGCCAGAAGTGAGACACATATAAGCAAAACCAAGAAACAAAATAGCCAATCAAACACAACTGCCATTAAGTAACTCTTATGAATACAAAATCTGGTAACACAAACCATACGAGAGATTAAGTCTTACAGAAAAAAATGAAAATGTCATAGCTAAATTCAAAAGATAAGAACACTCTTGTAGCAGAGTTTAAAGCTTACACTTAGAATCCGAGCTTGGTTCTGCGCCAGTGCCTACGCTTGGCATTGTACCTAACAAAAACACAAAAGCATTTCCGGTTTCAGTCCCACACTAAATCGACCCACCATGACGACTAAAATGTTTCTATATGATAGATCGGGAAGAAGACAGCAACAAAAGTAAATCGAACCTGATGGTGTTGTCGGTACGAAGACGAATCCAGTGAGGAATAGGCCTGTTCTGTCTCATCTTCTTGGCCAGCTTCTTCTTGATCATGAACGACTTGTGCGACGGCTGTTCCGTTTCATTTTTTTTTTTCAAAATCAAAATCAATCATTTCGATTCAGTTTTGTAACTAACATCAAAACTCTAAAATTCAACTGAAATCGGAGAAACCAACAATTTGTGATGGAGGAATCATTAGAGAAAGAGAGATTACCATCTTGAAGTCGTGGCGATTTGGCAGCTGGGGAGCAAAGCTGGACGAAGAGATTGTGGCGAACAAACTTATGGGAAACCCTAGTTAATAAATGGATGGGCTTTATATATGCTAGAATTTTATTCGGCCCACGGCCCATTCTATAGTTAATTAATGTCAAAATCAAGTAAGTTTTTAGAACTCAAAAAAGTAAAGTTTAAAACCATTAGTATTTGGAAAACTATGGAATAAGTAAGTAAATCCACGGCGGCAAGTTTCTCTTTCTCCTTTTTTTTTGGTCAACAGTTTCTCTTTCTCCTTTAATATATAAAAGTCCAGAAACTTCCCGTCGTAGATCGAAACCGTAATCCGCGAGCTGAGAAGAAGAAGAAGAAGAAGAAGAAGAAGAAGAAGAGACGACTTCTGTGTTTGATTAAGCTATTGGATGAGATGGCGGAGCACTTAGCATCGATATTCGGGACGGAGAAGGACCGCGTGAACTGCCCGTTCTACTTCAAAATCGGCGCCTGCCGTCACGGAGACCGATGCTCGCGCCTCCACACCAAACCCAGCATCAGCCCCACGATCCTCCTCTCGAATATTTACCAGCGTCCCGATATGCTCACCACACCTGGCCTTGATATCCATGGAAACCCAATTGATCCCCGTAAGATGCAGCAGCAATTCGAGGTCGGTAACACCTTCTTCTGTTTCATTCGCGATTTGTTCCTTTTATTAATTTCTCCAGGAGATCGAATTTGGGGGTAATTGATGCGATTTATGGTTAATCGTTTTTGATTTCTGAGTTTTGCTGCGATGAGATTGATTTTAGGGTTTGCTTAATTCCTACGCGTTTTAATGACTTTTATCGAAATAAGTGGTTGAAGATTGTGTACAATGGGTTTGCTTTGAGAGAATTTTCTAAAAATTAACTTGATTTCTTCATATATGTTTTCGTTTGATTTTTTTTGCTCGTAATTTGATTCCATTATTGTGAATCTTCAGGACTTCTACGAGGATCTGTTCGAGGAGCTGAGCAAATACGGCGAGATTGAGAGTCTGAACGTCTGTGACAATATCTCTGACCATATGGTTAGTGATCTTTCGACACACTCTCTTAAAATTTCTTTCTTTGGATGTTTATTCTCAACAATGTTTCATCTTCTTGTGTTAGGTTGGTAACGTGTACGTGCAGTTCCGAGAAGAAGAGCAAGCAGCAAATGCACTTCGGGGTCTTAGAGGAAGATATTATGCAGGTTGAATGTCTTTTAAGTTTTCTTGAGTCTCAGACTTGCATTTTGTTTTGAGATGCTAGTCTTACTTAACATTTGCAAATACAGGTCGGGAGATTATGGTTGATTTCTCCCCTGTGACCGACTTCCGTGAATCTACATGCCGACAGTACGAGGAGGACACCTGCAAGCGTGGTGGACTCTGCAACTTTATGCACCTTAAAAGCATTAGCAGGTTAAAATGTTTCCCCTTTTTGCCATGTGTTTTTTCATATTTGTTTTCTTATGACTAGAAACAACTTGACCATCTTGTCCATCAACCAGGGAACTGAGGAGGGAGTTATATGGAAGGTACAATAACAGGCATAGCCGTAGTAGAAGTAGGAGCCCGTCAAGACATCATAGTCACAAAGAGCGGTCTCATGGAAGGCATAGCCGTAGCAGAAGGTATGATGATGATGATGATTATAGTGAAAGCCGAAGGGGGAACAGAAGATACAGGAGCAGAAGCAGAAGCAGAAGTCCTGGTGGAAGGAGACAGAGAAGTCCTGTGAGGGAAGGGAGTGAGGAAAGACGTGCCATGATTGATAAATGGAACAGGGAGAAAGAAGAGTCTGAAAATGCAAGTAGGAGCAGTGAAGGAGCTGATAACAGAGTAAACGACAATTGCAGCTACACGAGGAAGAGCCGCTATAACGAACGGTCTTCTCAACAAGAAGGCTATTGATACCTTTGGTCAGTGAAAGTTTTCCTTCTCTTGGGTGTTAAAACATTTAATAAACATAGCCTCACAGCCATTTTCCGCTGTGCAGGTTGCAGGGTCAGAATTAATTAGGTCTTATTGATTGATTTCGTGCTGACAACTTTTCCCTTGCAATATATGCATGTTGGTAGTCATGATAACATTATAGCCTTTGCATGTGCTTTGCTTGCTTGCTTTCCAGTGTCATAAACCACCCTAACCGTCCCGTTCTGCAATTAGGAAGATAGCATCTTCACTAAGTTAGGCTTGTTTTGCTTAGTCTGCAGTGATGTTGATTGGATAATTGTTATACTCTGAATTTTATAGAGTTTTGTCATTGTTTGTTTTGAGTCTGTTTGGATTTGAATTATATGTACTTGCACGTAGAACTTTGTTTGTTACAGTCCAGGGCAATGTGACTAATAAGTGCACGTTTGGGATAGAGCAAATGCAACCAAAACAGACATTTTTCTTCTCTATTGGTTCTGTTCAACTCTTATTCTCCAATCTCTATTGGCTATGTTTCTGTTTTTTTTGGGACGATGCTTACATCTTGTGAGGAGTTTTGCAGGTTCAGGTTTTTGGACTTGTAAGATGATGGTTGCGATAAGGTTTTGTTAACAATCTGCAGAATTTGTTTTACAGGTTTTGATGGTAGCTGGAAGATTTGTGTTTTAAACAGCTTGCAGATGCGAGGAACTGTTGGATTCTGAAGATGTTCTTTACTAGTTTTGGTTTTTGACTTTTCAGACTTGTTTTTAGCTTTTTGATGGATGATGTTTCTACTTTTGGATATTTTTATTGTGTGCTTGGTCTAAATGGGTGTTTGACATGTCACACTCGTCCCTCTCAAAGATAAATCGAACTGTGCTGCTTGAAAGTGCGTTAGATCATTCACAAATATTTGTTGAATTGAAATGAAACTATTAAATTATGCTGTTAGGAATGTTACATCTCAAATAAGAACAAAGATAATATTATAAGTGACATGGACCAAATTCACTCACTAGTCACACTATGGTACATCACTACATTGGTCACTATCTTCCCATACTACAAGACCTAAACAACTCACAGTATTGAATACATCTACGGAAACAAAAAAGCTGGTATATAAGAAATGTAATTTTTTGTTTAGTTTAAACTCAAAAGGAAAGAACCTTTAGAGACAAGACGAAAAAGGAAAGAACCTTTAGAGGCAGGAGCTTGTTATGTTCGAGAAGATTCTCAATTAAAAGTACAAATATCTCAGTCCCATGATTGTAGGTGAGATTTCAAAGAATTTATTAACAAATCCCCTATATTCAACCAAAATCAGACTATTAAAAATCAAATCACCATAAATTAAAGATTTGACTGAATACGAGAAACGGTGCTTCTTTTAAATGATTTCACTATAAAATGAGCCACAGAGTTACAGTTCTTCATCACTCAACTCTCATTTTCTCTACTTCCCCAAAGAAAGAAAACAAAAAATCAAAATGAAATTCTTCGTTTCCTTTGTTATGTGCTTACTTCTTTTGAACGGTTTCACAACCGCCCAAAATCTGATCCTAGATTCTTGCAAGAAAGCATCAGCCAGAGACGCACAGCTCAAACTCGATTTCTGTGTCCAGTCTCTTGAATCAGACCCGCAGAGCAAAGCCGCAACCACACTCGAGGGACTGGTCATAGCATCGGCGAAGAGCGCTGCGTCCAAAACAATTAGCGTGAAAGGAACCATTCAAAGGATTCTCAACGACAAGAAAGCTTCAGCGGGTATTGAGATGATCTTACGCGATTGCGTCGAGCTTTACGGCGACGCAACTGATTCCATAAACGAAGCTTTGACGAGCGTTCCATCCGGTGATTACGACACTGTTAAAGTGAATCTGAGTGCTGCTTTGGATGCACCGGCTAACTGTGAAGACGGGTTCATGGAAAAGAGGCATCAGAAATCTCCGTTTGCAAATGAGGGCAATATTTGTCGTCTCAAGATTTTGATTCCTTTAGCTTTTACAAATATGTTGTGATGAAATTACCACGTGTATCATTTATCAAGTAAGAGACATTATATTTTCTTCACTTAAATTTTTGTCAAAGAGACATTACCTTATTGGGAAAAATCGTTTATTCGGTAATCATATTTTTGGATTTTTGCTTAAATATTTAATTAGCTGTGAGCGAGAGTTTTATGTGAAAAACTCTGACCAGAGCTAAATAACCAAAAAATACGAAACAATTAGGTCACGCGACGCAAGCGGGAGTGGTAAAGCCGTAAAGCGTGACATGAGCCTTCTAAAAAAAAAGACGTTACGGTAGAATTTGGAATATGGGAAACAGTTAATATTGCATGTTGACCAATATGAAAACAAAATAAGTCGATGACTCTTCTGAGTTCTGATAAACGATCGTTTGAGAAATAAATTAAAGATAATATCTTGGACTTTTTTTTTTTTTTTATGGCCGCAGATAATGTATATCCTTGATTGTAACGAAAATGGCAAAATGGTAGATACAGAGTTCTGATTTATGAAAATGTATATCTTGAATGTTTGGAAATGGAAACACACTTAAAGGAGTTGAGTAGCTTAACGACACCAGCATATCTGGAAAGCAAACCGTGCATGTTTGACCAATATAAAAAAACAAAATTGATAAATTAAGAAGTAAACATTAAAAGTGAGTAAATGCATGTTATGATTTTTATTTAAGGTAAACTAAATCTCATTTTGGCATAATATCTTTTTCTAACATTCAAAACTTACGAAAACAGCTGATTTTTACTATCTCTTCTTCCGCCTTTTATTTGTTTTTTATAGAGGTAAAAAAACCAAGAAAATACAGTAGAAACTCTATAAATTAATAATGTCGGGACTTTGATATTTTATTAATTTATGGAGTTATTAATATATATGTTTTGACTAAAAAATATTTTTTCAAAAAAAAAATATTTAATATTTAAAACCTTTTTGATTTTTATTCAAATTAAATAAGAACTTATATATATATAATTTTTTTTATGATGATTATTAATTTATGTTATTACTGGGACCATATTTTACATAGGAGTTTCAAAAAAATTATTATTTTATTATCTCATCGAATTATGTCATATTTTACACTGGCCCAACTTGAGACCGGAAGATTTTATTAATTTATCGTGTTTATTAATTTATCAAGTATTAATTTATAGAGTTTCTACTGTAGTTTTAAAGCAAACAATTAGGCCCGGAACGGTAAGTTGTTAAGCTAAATCATTCTTTTGAATATTTTTGTTTTAGTTTACTGTAAACTGAATCACAAAGATGATGTTCTCTAGGGCGAATCTTAGTGCTGCTTTGCAGCCTTTGCTTGCACTGACTGATTGTAAAGATCGATGGGTTCAAATAACGGCAGCAAAAGAAATCTATTATGGGAAATGGAGGAACAATAAGTTCAAACCAAAATTCTCAGCGCAAGAGACTTGGCATCAGGTCAGACACGAGTAGACTAAAAATGAATGGTACAAGGTAATATGGTTCTCCCAAGCTACTCCCAAGTACTCATTCATGGTGTGGCTTGCAATTCTAAATCGACTATCGAAATAAGATCGAATGGCTACTTGGAACATATCAACTACTTTGGATTGTTCTCTATGTCAAAACCAAGTGGAGGAGACACGAGACCACTTGTTTTTTTTCATGCCTTTATTCAGCGGAAATATGGTCAGTGCTTACCCGGAAGTTACTAGAAGCACACTACACTACACGTCCATGATCAGAAAATATTCATGTTCCTTGCTCGATATAGTTTCCAGGCTGCTTTACACAGCATTTGGAGAGAGCGCAATGGGAGATGCAATGGAGATCAACCGAAAACTTTTCAGCAACTCATTCGACTCATTGACAAGACCGTTCTAACCATGTTTCCTCTATTCGCATTTCAGGCCAACAACCAATCTGAGAATGCTCTCATGATGTGGTTTGCTACTAGATGATAGGATTTTTCTGATTGATATTTTGAAAAACTCGACCTAATGATGCATTAAAGTAACAAACCTTTTTTGTGAAAAAAAAATTACATTCTTCAACAAAAGAAATCTACTATTACAAATGAGAACATTTTTTGTTTAAGACGATTTTGTTTCCTTTTAGCTTTTAAATGTACTAGGTTAATACTCGCGCATACACATTTGATGTTAATAATCCAATGTCATGCTTTTCATTCCATCTCTATTCTTAATATACAATGAAAAAATTTAGGAACTACAAGTTTAGACATGTTTTTCTTTTACTTCTTTATGAACTTCATTCTTGACGTACATCCTCTTCAACTGTCCCAAGATATCAACTGCCCTATGATTCAAAGGACTTTGAAAGCGACTCTAGGATCGGAGAATATTTTTATGCATGGGCTCGTAGTGTACCTTCAAACTTGTTATGATGGGCATTTCTGCAAATTGATGTAAGATTATTTTTAGAGTTCAGATGCATGAAAACAAAGAAGAAAATAGAGGGCTGTTGAAGCATGTGATGTGTCAGCAGCAAAATCATCATGCGACCATAGTAAGCATAATTAAACAACGAACAATTTTACATATTACTCTCGTTTATTTATTCCATATTTATAGCTTGAAAGAGCTAATGAGATCATGACCCTGATAGACGACTAACTTGCTTGAAAGAACCATCGCCGTTGACGCTCTAGTGGTTCTAACACCTTTTAATTAATTCAAAGGTCCTAAATCCTTCCCGAGTAGATTTCTTCACCAACTGAAACACATACATGTCGTGATATCGAGATGAATCTATATGCAAGTGTTGCATTTCTGGAATCGTTCCAGTGTCTTGAACATGCTGAAAAAAAATACATAAAGGTTATGAATAAACCTTATAAGAAACAAGACACATGTACAGACGTATGTCTCTATTTATCTATACCTGAGTTCCTCATGAGACACAATGACCTAAGAGAGAAATGGTGAACTTAAGGGATCAGTTCGGTAGAAAGATCATATATGCATGTTGATCACATGAAAATGTAAAAGAGCATGTACACTCAAAACACTCCTCTCTGATTGTTTTATTCAAACAACTTCATTTGCAATAGAAAATAATCCATACCATCCGGAGAGGTCTGATCATTTGACTGTACATCAGAAGTCATTTGTGTCCATGTTAAACATTTTGTGTTTGAACAAATACAAACCAGTGAGACATAGTGGCGGTAGTTCTCAGATCAAGTCCATTATGATTCATAGGCAAAAACCAAATTTACATAGATTCCTTTTAATCTTCAAAAAGAAAAAAAGTGTCACCATAGTTAGTCCATGGCGGAGAGGTGAGACAAGCCCGTTATAAGACATAGAGAAAACCTTACAACCCTCGACAGAGAATTCTATGCACCAGTACATGTTTACATTCATCTCCTAGAAAACCATCCCCACCATCTCAAGAAGAAGCAAACAACAACAAATACTGGAATAGATTAATTATTAAATTTAATACATCAAACTTTAATTTGGAAAAAAACGCTAATGGTTTTAATGGAATTGGGGAAGATGAACAGAAGCCAAAAGCCGAAACGAGAGATCAAAGAGATGCAAGAGGAAGAGAGAAGTAAAAACTATCACATAGAGTCATCACATTTCTTCTCTCAGCTTATGCTCTCACACTTGTGTTCTTACAAGTGATGAAAGCACATCTACTTATAGTGGAGTAGAAGCTTGGAGATGCGAAGGGAATCTAGGGTGGATGTAACTATTTGTTAAACATATTTTGAACATGGTTTTATAACAAAACCGAGTTCTGTTTTCGATTACTGAAAATTAAACCGAACAGATTGTGCATAAAACCAAGTGTGAGATTGGGGTTGTGTTCGGTTTGGATTGGGACTTTCGATTGGGGTTGTGTTCTGTTCAAATGTCCACATGTTTTCACTTTTTATTAGTGGATATGGAAAGAGTTAAACTTCTTCTCCCATATTGATTTACAAATAAACAAATCCTCAGGATATCAAAAATCTTGTTTGCAACAAATCTCCATTTCATAAAGTCACACAAAGAAAACGACGGTGCTGCCCTCGTCGCCGGCGAGAATCAACGGTGAGTAATTTTTTTTCTCCAGTGTTCCTGTTGTGAAAGTGTATGATTTCGATTTATCTTCCGCTAGATTTCATATTGAATTTCGATGATGATTGACGATTCCGATGTCCCGAATTTCTGTATTATCCTCTCTGAAAAATTTCAATTTTTTTTGTTTAATTCTGTGATTTCAGATGATTGATCGTAGAAGTGGAGGAGAAGATCGAATAAGCTTATTACCAGATGCTCTTCTCTCTCAGATACTCTCCACTCTCTCTACCAAAGACGCTGTCAAGACAAGTCTCTTATCCACCAGATGGAGATCGGTCTGGCTTTCGATTCCCGGTTTAGAGCTCGACGACGACGACTTCCCGAATTGCAAGTCCTTCGTGAGCTTCGTCGACAGATTCTTCCTCTTCTCCACGGAGTCACCAATCGAGAAGCTCAAGCTCGCTTCCAACAAGGAGAAATGCAACCCGTTAGCTGTCAAATCATGGGTTGACGCAGCGGTTAACCGGAAAATCAAGCATCTCGAGATCGATTTCTCCAAGAGAGACTTAGGGTTTGATCTTCTCTCCACTGAGATCTTCACCAGCCAGACTCTGGTGTGCTTGAGGCTGCGTTACGTGGCGTTGAATGACTTCAGCAAGGTCTCTTTGCCTCGTCTTAAGACGATGCTTTTGGAAGAAGTTAGGTTCTTGAATGGTACGGCTTTAGAGAGCCTTATCGCGTCTTGTCCGGTTCTTGAGGATTTGAGCGTGGTTACGAGTAGAGATGACGTCAAGGTCTTGCGAGTTTGCTCTCGGACGGTGAACAGGCTCGTGGTTACGAGTAGAGATGATGTCAAGGTGTCACGAGTTTGGGATGGTTCGGATATGGAAGTTGTGATCGATGCTCCTAGGCTCGAGTTTCTGAGTCTTGAAGATTACCAGTCCTCGAGCATTACGATAAAAAACAGTTTGAGTTCTTCTGCTAAAGTAGACATCGGTGTGAATTTCGATGTCAAAGATGTTTTGGACAGTGATGACTCGGTGAAGAGAAGTAGCATTGGTCATTTTCTTGCTAACATCTCTAATGTCAGGGACATGACCATATGCTCGAAAACTCTCAAGGTATGATTCAATCAAACTTGTGTATCTTGATTCGTCGACCGATTCTTGTTTCTTGATTCTTGATACTTGATTTCTTGTTTTTCAGGTTATCCGTCAATATTGCAAACTAGAATTATTACCTCAGTTTTGTTATATGTTCCAATTGCATGCTAAAATAGCTTCTGCGGATTTGGAAGTTTTGCAAGTTCTTCTTGAGAGCTGTCCGAGTCTGAAATCACTCGTCTTGGTGATGGTTTCTTCTTTCGTCTTTATTACTCGGATTTTCGTTGTTGTGGAATTCGCTCTTCTTATATTTTTTTATGTTATTGTATTTTGGCAGGAGCTGAGTGGTTCAATCAAGAAGAAGGTGGAGGTTAGTTTCTCATCTCGTGTGCCTTTGTGTTTGCGGTCATGCCTCGAGCGTGTTGAGATGAGAAGACCGGTTTACGGAGTCGAAGTAGAGATGAAAGTAATCAAATACTTTCTTGAGAATTCAACAGTTCTCAAGAAACTCACTCTGCGTCTTGGTTGTCCTAGGATGAAGCAAGAGTCTGTCATCTTCATGGAGCTCCTGAGATTCCGACGATGCTCTATGGAGTGTGAAGTCGACGTTGTTGGACTCGAAGAGACATTGATGAAACTTTGATTCCAGGAGATTGTGTTCAGATGGAACCTTTCTCTGTATCTGTGTAGCTATGAACTTATCTTAGAGATGTGTCTGATTCTCAAGACTTTTGTTACATTATTATTGATGATGGACATCAAGTTCTCTTTTTTTTTCTTTCAAACTGTAGCTGAAACTAACAACCATAGAATGTGGTAAATGTGTTTTACAGATCATTTATTTTTCTTCTTCTTCTCAAGCTTCACCATCTTGCATTATAGTTTCATCATTTACTTCATCAAACTAAATGAAATCAGGAAACATGGTGAATAATCCATTGTAGTTGTGAGTGAGAAGCAGAATCAGAAGCCATGATAAGCACAAACTTACCATCATTTATCATAAAGGACACATACTAACATCACTTGTAATAAATGATCAAACTATTTCCATCAATTGATTTTAGCAATATCACAAAATATTTGAATCACCACTTCCAGAGTAAGTTATAAGTTATATAAGTGGTGCAAATTCATTTACATCTATCAGAAAACGATATAAACAAAGGGTAGCTTATGGACCGTGATCATCTTTTAGCCTGCCTTCGATATCACGCCTTAGCAGCTTCGCATATTCCTGCAATCCCGAATACAAATTTTATTAGCGGTGGTTTAACTTTTTATCCTAAATAAGTCACAATAAGTAAAAGCTATGTCTCTTTGAAGCTTACATGAGCCAGATCTTCATCGCCGCAGAGCTCGTCCGCAAGTTCTTCTTGGCTCATTGCCGCATTTTCGACTATTGCACGGAAGACATCTTCCGGTGGATCAGAGTGCTCAATCATTTGCGCCATGGATTGAACAATTGCCTACAAAAAAAACACACTTCGTTACAGAAGATAGACTAAAACAAAATGCCGTTTCATGATGTTATAGTACCTAGACGTACCTGAAAAGGTTGAAGATCATCAGGCTGTTGTGTTACAGGTTGAAGTGATGGTCCTCCTTGGCTAAAGGCACGTGAGACTAGAGGCATCATTTGCTGCACCATTCTAGAGAGATCAAAGCCGCCGCCCTCTCCCTGCGCTCCGCCTGACATCATATTCTCTATCTCTTGCCCATCCACCTGTTGGGCAATTTGTTGGACCGTGTTCATGATCTGTGGGTTCTGAGTAAACTGCTGCAGCATATTTCTCAGCATATTTGGTGAATCAACTCCAGCTTGTCGAGAAGCCCCAGCTAGCAATCCATCCAGTGCAGGACTCTCCAAGACCTGAGTCAGTGCGCTTGACACATCTAAACCTTGACCTTGCCCGCGTCTCAGAGCAGTCTCATCTGAGCGAGAACTACCAGAAAAGAGAGATTGCAAAAGCTGTTGGGACCCACTGCTGCTCTGTTGCACAGCTTCAACCGATGATGGAGTCCCACTTTCATCATTCTTACCTAAAGCTTTGGGCTGCTTGCTTCGTTTCTTCAACCAAAAAATAAAACATAGCAATTAAAACCACAGACCACCAACGTTTCTTATGCAATGAAAAACAAGCAACACAAAACTTGCCACTTTGTTTACAACTTGTTCATTACCTTACGGTCCAAACCCCCTAGCCCCAATCCAAGTGGTGTAGCTGAGGCTGCCTCTTGAGCAGCCTTCTTGGTTGATTTGTCATCACTGGTAGCACCTTCTTTATTGCTTGATGATTCTCCAAACAGAGCTGAAGATGATTGTTCTTTATCACTTTTGCCCTGGTTGAAAAAAAAAGGAGATCATTGATGGTCAGAGACGGAGTAAACGTGAAATAAAGAATCCTCAGATTGCTAAGAAGACATACAATTGAGATACTCCTTTCAGATGGTAAGTCAGGCAGTGAGCCACTCGACTCATTGGGTGTGGAAGTAACTCCAATGTTGGTAGGCTGCTCAGGCATAGTACTGGAAACACCATAGCCCATAGACGTATTTGGCTGGAGAGATTCTGTACCTAATGGACACATGAAGAAGAGCTTGAAAAACATTTCATCCACAATGTAACAAGTTTCAGCTAGTAGGAAACCTTACCAGATGGAATCTGGTTTCTTCCTTGCGTATTGTTTACCAATTCTCTAATCCTTGCATTAAGTTCGGCAACTGCAGTAGCAACATCCGCACCAGGTTGAACCCCAGCAGAATCATTCTCATTGGTAGAGCGAGATGGAACAGCACCAGGAACGATGTTTCTCACTAGGGGTACTTGTACAAAGCTTGTATTGCCGTCTCCTTGTCCTCCTTCTCCATTGCTTGGTTGAAAGGACATCATAGGTGAAGGTGATGCGCCTGGTAATTAAGTAGGAAACTTGATGTTGAAATTTTTTTGAAGTTATGACCAATAAAAAGAAGATGAACTTCACGCACCTGCATGTATGTGAATGTTAACGTGCCTTGGGGCGGTTCCTAAACCAACTGCTCCAGTTACTGGATTTGATGAGGCAGTTGCACCAGTAAAGAGAGGGCTGGTTTGATGAGGAAAAGGCTGCAAACAAAAAAAGAACAGTAGATATTACATAATAGTCGAAAGTAGTTTAGAAAATAGATGTGACAAGAAGCTTACCTGAACCATAATAGGATTCGGTCCTGCCGGAGATATATAAACAGCAGGCCCAGCATTCACATAAGATAATTCCTGTAGATCACACTGCTTGTGAGAAGCAAGTCAAGAAAAAGAGGAACAATTGCAAAAGGAAATGACCCAAAACGCACCGGAGACTGTGACATTCTCAATGTCAGAATCGTGCGCCCAAGCTCCAGTAAGAGGGCCCCTAAATGTTGCATAGCAAGACCTGCTTGCACTGCCTCTGTCTGAATTTGTGCCCTGAGAGCAGGGTCTGAAGAGGATCCATCTTGCTCCAGACGTCCTGCAATATGCTACAACAATGTTTTTGCAAATTACAAACAGCACATAATTAGATGACAATGAAATAATAGTCTGAAAATTAGAATCAATTAATAAGTAGTCTGAAAGAGGTGCTTACAGATAAAGAAGAGACAGCTGGACCACCCAGTAAACGCTGTGCATTCCTCAGGACAACAGAGAGTCCTTCAGGCGTTGATGCACCTCGCCTACTTCTAGGCAACTCTTCCCTTGGCCGTCCTGCTGTAGCAGAGGGGGTATCTGGCTGAGAGCCTGGAAGAACATCCAATTAAATCGTTGTTGTGTTTTTAATCTAATATGACAACAAATGTTAGATCAAATACCATTTTGTGACAATGCCTGCTCCATCCGATTAATGAACTCCAAAAGAGTGTCTAACGAATCTGGGATAGGCTGCATAATTAGAAAGTTAGATTGAAAATAACAAGATTATAGCTCTAGACTCAAGATCTAAATACGTATGTGATTATGGACTATACCGTTTGAAATGAAGGAATAGGAATTGCAGTAGCTGCTGTAATCGGAATCTGAACTAGATGGGGCATTGATGCTCTAATTGATACACCAGGAAATGCTTGCCTAGGTTGTGGATGACCCGCCGCTTGGCCTTGACCACCTTGGCTTTGACCACCGATGCCAGGCGCTCCATCAGATGTGTTACCAGGAGCTTGGCCAGACAAATTTGACTAGGGGAAAGAAAATTATATGCAACAGTGGTTTTAGAAACACGCATCAGTGGATGAAAATATCAAGTACATCTAAAGAAACATAACATATCAAAAGGAAACAAAACCTGATTTTTAATAATCGTTGATATAAATAAACTTCCCATAAAAAATTTCCACAAACAAAATGACAGACTAGGCAAAATTTAAATTCGAAGCAGAGAGTGAAAGGATACTCACGGGCATAGAAGGCTGTGTGCCATTAGTATTGTTATGTGTAGGTTGCTGCTGTCCACCAACTCCAAAAGAATTTAGAACGGCTCCAATGACCTAAGTAACACAAAAGTAAAAGCAGGTCAGCCACGTCTTTCTCCGAATTTATCTTTCACAATGCTCCAAACATCTTTTACTCCATAGCACAAACATTATACAATAACACAAATGCTTAAGGATTACCTGGTTGATATCAGGAATGCCTTCAGTCTGATCTCCAACATTATAACTCCCAAGAACTACACTGTGGGAGATGTGTGTCCGATGTCGATATGGTCCACCATTTGTACCATTTCCTGTTGAATTAAATTACAAGTTGAACTTAATTTTCTGGACACCAGATATCGACTGTGTTAACAGCTTCTTCAAAACTCATAAAAAAACAAAGAACAAAAGATATGAATAACTTATTTACCATCATTTGGAGTGGCCCCTGTTGAAGGTGTACCAGAAGATGGCATTGGTTCTGCTGGCTGCCTCACAATCAAGTGTAAAGTATGCCCATTTTCCAAATCTAAGAAGATGTCAAGTTAAACTATACAGAAGTAAACAAGTGACTGAAGGAAAGGAGAGACAGACACTGCAGCTAAGGTTGGAAAACATATATATATATATATATATATATATATATATATATAATTTCTCAAGGATAAAGCTTCTTCTACAGTGTAAGATTCAAAATAATATTACAAGGCATTTGGAGCACATAATTTAGAACTGTCCTCAGCTAAAAGAAATCAACCGTGTGTATGCAGGTGCAATAGGTTTTAGAACAAAGTTCCAATATTTATCAACAAAGGGGTAGCCTTTCTCATTCCTACACAAAATCACTTGGACAATTATCAATAAAGGGGCAGCCTTTCTCATGCATCAACAAAAACACTTGAAAAATTATAAATAAATGAGCAGCCTTTCTCATGCCTATAAAAAACCCCAAGGGACACGTTATAAAGCAGAGATGCACTCAATCAATCAATCCCAAAAATTCCGAGATAATGCATCAGCTACACTACAGTTAGCAAGCAGTAGGATACGATACTCCGAGAGAGGGTGATCATCTTTCAAAACCCTTCCTCGAAAAATGAGCCTCTGCTGACCAACCGGCACTCCTACCTCACTAGCTATCTTCTCCTTAAACAGAGAAACTGTTTCCTGAAACAAGCCAATCCCAAATAGTATTAGAGATCAGCATACTAAGCTAAAGAACAAAAGCAGGAGCATACTTGCAAAGATGATCTTAAGATGTAAAGAAGATAGATTTCTCACATTCTTATTCACTTTGAAAGTATAAGTCTGTGAGTCTAGCGTCTTGATGTTAAGCTCAACGGTTGATTCTGGAGTCTCGCTACTGGAGGACTGATTTATGGCTTGACCTTCCATGATTCTGGAGTCTCGCTACAAGTATCTGGACATCAAAAATATGCAAAACAAAATACTTCTCAAGCAAAGGTATTTGATCAAATGAAAATGAATCCGATAAGTAAACTAGCAACACGTAAGAAGGATCTAAGAGATTTCTAGGATACTCCATAGTAACCTTTCCGGACACATTTCTAGGTATTTATCTTATGAAACAGAATCAACAACAATATGACAAAAACACGAATCAAAACTCATAAGACCTTAAACTTCCACCGCTAAAGCAGGAAACTTTAAACAACGGGTGCGTATATCAAGCTAATCAGAGCTATAGGTCCAATGAAGGACCAATATGGATATGTCAGAGACAGAAGAAGAATAGGAAACACCACGAAAGCAAACAAAAATATTGATTTGAGCTCAAGGCTTAGGTCAACCCACTCAATAGAAAAGGATTGAAATTCGAAATTGAAGGTTGATTTGAGCGGCGAAAGGGGGGAAACTAGGACGATGTCGAGGGCTTTTGAGTAAAAAAAAATGAAAAGAAGAATCTAGAGAGAAACTCTCGGGGAACAAACCCAACCATGAATGGAGATTTATCAACATACAAACCCTCGGGAAACAAAGGGGGCAACAATGACGACGAAAGGTATCACGAATCGCTTACCACAGTGACGACTTAGGAACGACGGTGGTGACCCGGTGCAGTAAATCGGCGATTGAAGACGGTGGCGTTTGTGATCTCAAATATATCGGCTTCCTCCGGTACGTTTCCTTTCTTCTCTATCTCTTTTTCTCGTTTCTCTTCTCTTTCAATTTTTTTTCTCTTTTTCGTTCTCGCAAATTCTCACGATTCTCTCTCTTGGAGGTCGGCGCAAGGCGAAGCGAACGGTCGTGTAGGGTCCACAAGCTTTCAACGCTAAGGAAAAAACGAATTGGCTATTTTGGGCCTTAAAGCAAAGATTAAACCAAAACAAATATCTGGCCCAATAATAATTGGTAAGCTATTTTATTAAGTGCCACACCGTATACTTTTTTATTACTAAAATTAAAATGGTTAAAAGATTGCGGAACATAAGAGAAATGTTAATTGATTGGTTCAGAAATTATCTTCTTCGTTATTCCTTGTATATTGGTTAACATTTGATACTACAGAGTATAGTATTGATAGTAACATTCGCTGACAATCACAACCTCTGAGATAAACAAACGACTTCGATAATAAACTGTGAAAAGGTTGAATATATTAATGGTAATACTCCAAGACATGTTTTAGGAAAAACAAAATTAAAAATCCGAAAGGTTTCATAAAGAAACTACTGGCAAAACTCCAGACTTAACATAATCTTCCTACTTAAAAAATCCGAAAACAGAGGAAGTTTATAGCTCTAAGAAACCACTTCACTTGGCGGCAGAGTGCTTGGCCTTGGTGTGAGAGTCAAGTGCGTTCGATGAGTTGAATGTCCTGCCACAAATATCAACCAACATTAGAATTGTTATAACAAGCAGAGAAAAACATTGGACACACAGACTTTAGAGAGAGAGAGAGAGAGAGAGAGAGAGTCTCACTTCTTGCATGAAGTGCATGAGACATGAGTTGCAGACTTTGGGCTCTGTGTTGCGGTCGCTGGAGTCTTAGCACCTTTCTTAGCCGGGTGGGGTGTTGCGGTGTGTCCACCCTTCTTCTTCTCCTCTGTGCCAAGAAACAAATCTTCAAATGAGTACTCATGTTTTCTCCTTCATCTGAGGTTTGAAAGGAATCATTTAAAAGGAAAGGCTTTTATCTCTACCTGTTTTCTGAGGGGTCACTGCAACTTTAGCCTTCTTTGAAGACACTGGTGTCTTGGGTGCTGCTTCATTAGCTCTCTTCTTGCTTGATTCAACCTTTTTTCATAGATTCAAATAACAAAAGCATGGTGTGAGAAAGAGAGTCTTACACAAACAAAGTTATTTAACAAATTAAAGATATTTAACAAATTAAAGATGTAATATAAATATACCTTCTTAGGTGTCTCCTCTTGCTCTTCAATCAATGAATCATCCGAATCCTCTTCATCATCGGAATCGTCTTCATCCATCTGCCAAAAGAAAAAGACAACAAAAAAAAAGAAGAATCATCTTAGTACTTGTCACCAACATTTCTTGAACTTACTCATCAGAGTAAGGAGACAAATCGGAGAAAGCTACAGCAAACTCACTCCGTCCTCGGAATCAAAATCAGATTCATCCTCTTCAGGCTCCACATCAGCGGCAACAGTAGCAGCAGGTGTAGCCTTTGGCTTGGCTACGGCCTTAGGAGCATTAACATTAGCTGCAACAGGAGCTTCCTCTTCCTCTTCATCAGAAGAATCAGAAAAGTCTTCCCCCAAAGTGAAAACACAACCGGATTAAGAGTTAAGGGAAACCAAATCAAAATCCCCAATCTCAAGGCAAAAACCACAACAGCATCAAAACATTATACACAAAAAAAATCAATCAAAAGGATATTCTTCATCGTTGGGAACTTGGTATCCAACAAAGTAGACACTTCCTTTACTCCAGTTGTGGGAGAGCTCAATCTCTTGGTCGAATACCAAATCAAAGGCAATCTGAGGAATGCTCTCACCCAAAAGTGTCCCCAAAACAAGTTTCTTCTCGCCAACCTTCACATACAAAGGCACAGCATCTCCCTTCTTGCTTTTCTCTCCAAGCGATGCCTGTTACAAACAAGAACATCAAGATTCGTGCTTTTACACTAATTTCCAGAAACTCTTTACAAGAGTCAAATCAAATAGCATACTGATGATACTACTAACCTGAGAGATGTGAAGAAGCATGCCATCGCCAGGTGAGACTTTAAGTGGCTTCCCTGCTGGAACTTCAATTCCTGATTATGACAATTACAAAGGGAAATCAAACATCGTTTCTCTGTGAAACTATTGCAAACTCAAAAACCCTAGATAAGCAGGAGATTCACATCTAACAAAGTCCTCGGTTCGAAACAGATTCCGTAAACCTAGTAACTTAATCTACAGTCTCTAAAATGCGCTACAAAATTAACGATCAAATGACAGAGATGGTCAGATGGAGAAGATTCTTACCCCAGAACTCCATGGCTTACAGTCGAGGAAGAAAAGATTTGAAAAGTTAGGGTTTATGAGCAGCGGAAAATCGGAAAGGCAGTGAGAGAGAAATGGGTTTTGGGAGAATTTATATAAGCCGAGAGGGTTTTAGTAGGTTTTTAGGGTTCTTGTTCGACGCCGTTTTGAGATGATGCGGATTTTTCGAATAAATCCGGCGTCGTTTATCGTACCGATAGTTCATTTACAATAAAGGATTGGTTTCTCCATTATGGGCCTGTAGTTTTTTATAAGCCCAGTTTCTTCATTTACAAGTTTTAAAATTTGAAAAATTTATAGTCAATTTAGTCAGACTTCTTACTGTATTACAAATTATCGCATTTTGATCAATTTTATATTATGTTCATTGACCACCATCAATCATCCTTATATACGTTATTTTGTTCGATATTACGACAATGTCCCAACGTAAAAGAAAGAACAGATGTGAGATTTTGACCTTCATAACACAAATTTTTTTTATTCTGTGAAGAGAATAATTAATGAAAAGAATATGAAACATTAGAAGGACAAAAGCAGACATATACGTTAGAACGCATATGCAGGGTAGCAGAGTTAGCAATTCCCAAAATTTGCATGTGAATGAGTCATTGTTTGGTGTGCACAATGACCATCGACTGTATATATTATATAAGTTTATGTAACATTTTGTTTTGTGTAATACAAATTGGAACCGAAACTCCTAAGTAAAACTATTACTCTTAATTTCTTTTTATAGCTTTTAAAAGATTAACAGAACATCATCGTGATCACACATTCATTGTTAGGTTTCTATTTTTCAAAATTTCTTGTAGAGGTTAACTAGAAACTAACAATGAAATGAAGTATGTGCATGCGTGCATGCTCTCTATTTGTAATTCGATACCACCAGTTTGGTCGAATTGGTAAACTTCGAATGACTATGAAACTCTTACTTGTGAGATTTAAAATGCACAGTTAACAATTAAACAAAACACATAAAATTTTGACAAAAATCTATTAATAAAAATTGCATGCGTGTTCATCTGACCGTACGTGTGTATGTTTAGATGACAACTGTGTTAATGGTATTGGTATGGCATCGGCATAAAAACAAAGTAAAAGGGTGTAAAGGAGGGAGAGTCAATATGGCATTAAGGAGTTGTGTTGCTACTTGCATAGGTTTTGCTTACAAAATTTGCTATGCAATTTCGTCCACAACTTTTGTTATTTTTCCAAAATACTTATAGCTGTTTGTTTTGGTTTTAATTTCTTATTCAATGCTACTAATTACCTGCCACCGTTCCACCATCCAAAATATAAGTATGCTATACATGTCTACGCATATGAATATCTCTTTTGCTTTGTAGTTGTGGGTTTCCATCTAAAAGAACTCCAGACTTTCGTAGAGTTTTTGTCCATTGGTAATTTAGTAGAGATTAGAGAACTCTAAAACAAGGATTACTGCCACGTAATAACTATGTTGTCAAATATAGCCGGCTAGAACTAATATACTAGTTAGTCTAGTTTCACTAGATTGGGTTCTATTTATTTATATTTTGTTGTCCTAAATAAAAAGAATGTATCAAAACACTTAAAATTTTCAAAACAACAAAATTTTGAAGTTTCTTGATATTTATTTTTCAGTACTCGTAGTTCCATCAAATCCGTAAGCAACATTTGTTTTAAGATTTAAGATATATATAACCTTGGTAAGATACTAAGATGTATCATAAAAAAACAAATTTAGATGAGATATTGAAAGAAAAAAATTGAACATGGATATGAATCTGAAACAGAGAAGAAAATAACAAGAGAGGATGGGAAGATGGGAAACAGCTGTCTGTCAAAACAATGTCGGAAGCGTTGACTTAGATTGGAATTTCTGACAAAACAGGCAAGACTTTATCATTTATTTATGTATTAGTATCGAAGACTTTGGTTGGACCACACATTCTCAATTATTTAGCGAAACTCTGCACTCGCCGTATAACAAAAGATTTCCATGTCCCCCTCTAATTGTGACTCAGAATAATTAACCTAAATCATATCTCATTAACATTTTTAAAATACAATAGTATATGATTTGTGTACATTTAATCATTGTTGAAGTAATGAACTAATGATTCATGTCATATACTGGCATATGACATCTGTAAATGTGCCACTCCTCACGTAAAAAAGCCGGAAGTTTTGGTTTCAAAACATTTTGATTCCAAAACATTTTGATTTTGCAATCAAAACTTTAGTCTTACATTTTGGTTCGAGCTTTTCTTACCAACGAGTTTGGTTAATATGGGTTTAATCAATGGAATCTGATGTTGTAAAATTAATTACTGAACTCACATTATACTTGCTTCAATTTGTTTTATAATTGTCTTCAATCTTCACAGTACTTCAAGGTGCATACATATCCTTTGATTATGCACCTTGTAGTGATTTTAAAATACTTAACTAAACTATAGAAATTTTATTTTGTTGTGTGGTAAATTACCGGAGAACTATTTTTATAAAATAACTAAAAATTACTCTCCGATCGACTGTATATATATTTGTTAATTGTGTATATATATTTGGTGTATGCCTAATTGCCTATCACAGAATTCTCCCTCTCTCTCTATATATCGCTCTCTCCCTCCCAGCCTCCTTCTCTCCTTCTATCTCTCTCTCTTAGCCAAGGAGATGAAGAAAACCTTTTGCCTTAGAGTGGCTGTTCTCTTCTTCATCTTCCTCACTTTTTCCCCAAGTACGTCTGCAATTCGAAAAGGTTTGTTCAATATATATGGTAATGATTGTTACTTAAATAGTATTTTCAAATAGTAGATAATCTTCTAAATCGTAATCTTAAATTAGGAAAAGATGATCCAGAGCTGAATCCATTAGTTGCAGCTATACCAGTGGAAGACGACTCGATTATTGATGTAAGTCTATTTAATTTGTTTCCCCATATTTTTCCTTGTTTCATTTTCCTCAAACCTAAATTATGCTTAACAAAATGTAAACTGTTTTCAGATGCAAACCAATACTTTTTTTTGCAGTTAATTACTTTCTCTAGTACTGCCTATGTTTCCTAGTCCTAAATTCAAAAAAAAAAAAAAAAAGTTTAGTATCTGCCCGTGATTTCATTTTATTATATTTTTCATGCTTCACAAAAGAGAAAAGATATTAGAAATCGGATGGTGTGTTTTCTGCTAATTGCAATAAACAAGATCTGATAATTGCAAAATAATAGAGTTACATGAACTTAATTTAAAGTAGTTTGTAGTTATTTGCAGCCTCAGAAATAAGATTTAATCCATATAATTTTCTTCCGTATAACTAATAACAGAAATTGATGGGGATGGATTCTTGCGGAGAAGGAGATGAAGAATGCTTAAGGAGAAGAATGATGACAGAAGCTCACTTAGACTACATTTACACACAGCACCATAAGCATTGACACTTCTTAGCATTATAATTTTGCTTACATATATCTATTATGTGTGTTGAATGTTACTTAGATATGTATTGTATATGAGTCCTATGTGACAAAGACAGTTTGCAGAAATTTCCTAGCGAAACTATTTTCAGCTCTAATGAAGGTTTAAAATTACATAGTAATTAAAACTTAAGTGTCACGAGTGCAAATACTACCATATTAGTTTATAGAACATATGGTAAAGAAACCTCAAGAATAAACATTTTAAAGGGTAAAGAAACTCAAGTAGAATAAGCATGGGACACTCGTTCATATGATGATAAACGGTTTAATCTCAATCACGACTATGGAGTATAAAGGATATGACAAAACCAAGAAAAAATTAAAAGAAATCAACTTCAAGTTGTGTATGTACAAATGATATTATATGTAACGTGTAATGTGGATTTATGAGATAAATCTTGTGTAGTCGTGTGCCTTGTTTCTATGATTAAACCATAAACTTTCCACGATTCGTTGAACGACTTCTCCTAAACTCAGGCATAGATACATTACTATTACCTTCTTTCATACCACTTGAAGGCTTATCCTCCAGTTTATTCACGAGTGAAGTGTCCTCATGAGCATAAATCGTCCTGCGAGGTACGTATAAGAAACAAAAAGTGAACAAGTGATTCGATTATACGTAATGAATGATCTTGTGGAGTATTATATTAGTAAACCTTAATTTGTTGTGGTTTTGAGAGTTTCTTGAGAAGCTTCTCTGTGAATTCTTGAATTTCAAAGCTGGTTCAACGTCGTTGTCCGTCTCTGAGGAATCACTCTTGAGTGTTGAATCTGATTTGTCAGCGGTACAGAGATCAGAGAACAAACTGATACCAACGTCGAATTTTTGGAATCTTGAGTGCATCACACTGTTGTTGTTCCCCTTTTGGAACTGATAACTTCCCACCTTCGTTTCAGAATCTGCCTCAGAACGCAAACTAATCCCGACATCGAGTTTCTGAAACCTACCTGGCGATGCTTTGGCTTTACTGCTCTCTGCTTTCGTCTTCTTAACACCACCTTGACGTATGTTAAGTGCGTGCCTCATCTGTTGCTCATCAGTCTCAGGGAAGAGCTTTCGCGCGCTTAACTTCTGATGACTGTGAAATGTCTCTAAAGTGTTGTTACTTGCTGATGGGTTTGATGGAACAGTTGAAAAGGGTTTGGAAACTGGTACTCTAGCTGGGAAAGGTGTTCTTGAAACCGGAAGGTTTTGAGTAACTTCTGGCTTATTCCTACTTTTAATGGACGATCCTCTATCAGTTGATATTGATCTTCTACTCGGAGGAGATGGTGATCTTGGATTCATCATCTTTGGGCTTGCTTCTCTGTTTCTCAACGCAGATTGAAACCCTGACTTTCTCTGCTTATCAGTTGAGCAACTTCTAGTCTGTAAAGTTCACCAAAACTGATTTAGGTTATAGTTTCTTTCACTAGTTGAGCAACTTGTGTGATATCTTTACCTCGTGGCTTCTGGTATTGTCATTTGGCTGTGGACTTGCTTCAGCCTTTGTTCTTGGAATATGGAAAGGAGAAACCGCTCTTGCTTTCTGACAATCAGTTGTTGTGTTTCTGATGCTACTTGCTCGTAGTTGTTCAAGCTCTGCTTCCTTCTTCTCCAATGTCGATTTAAGGCTTGATATCTACAAGATGATGGAAGAAAGATTGTTTTATTTACAATATGTTTCTTTTTCACTTTCCACAATGCAAAATGAGAAGGAAGCTATAGTCAAACCTCATCTTTAAGATCTCGAATTTCGCCAGTTTCTTTGTTTGACCGAGCTGCTCCAAGCTCAATGGACGCAACTCTTTGAGCAAACTTGAGTGTACTTATAGTCTCTCCTACCGCGTTAACTTCAGGGTTAATGTGCACAAACATTAGAGTCTTAGCTTGCCCACCTGCACGATGAAATGAAAACAAAAGAACAGTTAGTAATCACTAATGTTTGTGCATATTAGAGTACATAAAATGTTTTTTTATTACCTAAGGAATCTTGCAGAACTTGTGTAAGCTTGCTGTTTCTGTAAGGAACGTGAGAACTCTTTTGTGCAAGTGCTGAGATGACATCACCTAACGCAGACAACGACTTGTTTATGTGTTGAGCTTCTTTGAGTCTCTCTCCCACAGCTTCGGATTTTTCTACTCTTTCACTTCCAGCCAAATCCACAAGATGAAGGCAGCCTCTTAAGATGGATCCTGAGACCAACTCTTTCCCTTGGACGTGAACGGTTAAGACACTGTAACAGCATTTCAAACTACCATTACTACATTATCATCGTAAGAGTTTACTTAAGCAGTGGAGTGAAAGAGTTTTTATTTTACCTATGAGAACGGCTGCTTCTCTCATTTAAAGCCGTAGCACCCACTGCACGATTCTTTTGGCCAATCCTCATCCAATCAAGAACGTCTCTAGTACTAGAAACTGGAACCAAGCTTGCATCAGGTACATTAAGTCCATTGAGTTGCGAGTTATTGCGTATGTCTAATGTGAGAAGATAGTCAAGGAAAACGTCGAAGAGAATATGCAGCTAATTCAGTAGAAGAAATCGAGAGTGTAAACTATATGAAAGGATATCTTCTGGAAGAACCATCACTGACAAGTAAATCTCTAACTTGTTCGTTGTATATTTCGATCATCTGGACTCCGATTTCATAAGCCACCACATGTTTTCTTGCATTTGAAAGATGGAAGAGATCACGTAGAGCTCGGTAGTTCACTCCCCAAGTTGTCTCAGTCATTAAATCTGGTCCACTCTGCAGTGGAATAATTAGAGACAAACTATAAAGCCATGTCCAAGGGATAATAACTAATAAGAAAGAACAATGTGTGAAGATTGCAAATGGAAATGTTCATATACCATTGTATATGTTTTCCCTGAACCAGTTTGCCCATACGCGAAGATGCAAACGTTGAATCCATCAAGGACGGATCTTATAACCGGTTGAGTGTCAACGTAGATTTGCTCTGCCAAGTGAACAACCATTTTATCAGTATCATAGACATTTGAAATAACAAACAAATGAAGCAATACCTTGTGAGACGTTCTGTGCAAATACTTTGTTGAAAGTAAATATTTTCCGAGCTTCTTTTTCCTTCTTGAAAGGATTGACAATCATAATATCACCATTTTCTCCGATATAATCCACAGTTGATTGCGTATCTTTTTGTTCTTGTAAGAAAGGTCTAACTCTGCAGTAGACTCTAATGGTCCCTATAGAGTAACATCATTAACATAAGTCAATACACTAAAATGTACTTCAAATAAAATACAAAGGTGGTGTTATTTACCTTTAAGATCTTGAACCTCATTGTAAAGTGTACGATTTTCCTCAAGAACCTTGTGGTAAGAGGAAGATGTAACTTCCATGGACTTAACGTGATGCACTGCCATAGAGAGTGATGGAGATTTAACCTATGTAATCTTTAATTACTTAAAAGATGTAAGAGAAAAGAAAGAAAAAATCATTTACCTATCCTTTGAATCTCTTCTTGCCACTCTGACTGCATTTGTTCAACTTGGAATTTTGCTTCCATGAAATTTGATTTTACTTCCTACATGAGTGATATTATGAACACGGATGCAAGAAATAACCAAATGAGAGAGTTCAAAAGCAAGAAAACTCAAAATCTCACCTCTAACTCTTTCTGTTGAAGAAAAACAGCTTCTGCATGATCAGAAGAAAGCTCAGAGACGACGCTTGGTCCGATAATCTCAACCTTTCCGCCACATTTACAAAACTTTGAAAAATCCTTTGACACCAGTTCTTTCCTGTGCCGAAGATATCTCAAGACTGCTTCTATAAACTCTGATCTTGACAGTTCTTTAACATCACATTTCAGTATCTTCCTTAGAAACGAGCCTAGCTGCAAGTAGAACACCAGAAACTAAGTTAAAAAAGGTCTTAACATTCGAAAAAGAACTCCATGAGAGAGTAAAGTAAGTAGTACCTGAGCCCCCTGAGAAACTAGTATAGCAGAGAAATCTTTAACCACTCTGTTGAGCAAAGTATCAATCACCTATACAAATATCAACCACGTTTTAATGTGCAAGAAAAGTTTTTCCAAATGTTTAATCTTTAACTCAAACAAGTCTCTTACCTACCATTTCATTTAAAGGCAGATCACTGATCCCATCACTCTCCTTAAGGTAAGCATGTAGAAGCTGAACAGCGAAATGGTCGAAAAGAAAAGCCATGGAGATTGCAGTCTCAGATTCTTCAGTTGACATCTCATTAGAAAGGTGAAGAAAATCCAAAAGCTGTTCATACTGAGAAGAAGACTCAGACTCATCCAAAGAGACAGACTCATCGGTGTTGCTTTCGCTACCACCAAGAGACAAACTCGAGCCTTTCGGGTTTAACGAGACGATCCTCACAGTGCCTCCGTACCTCCACACTCCAATCCCACCTGCTTGCTTCCACTCGTAGAACCCTTTCAAGCACAAAATGCAGTCTACTACTTTGTTCGACGAGCCTCCCTGAAAAAATTGCAATCATCACAACAGAGAGTTTAAAACTTAAAAGTAACCTTTTCGAAATCAGAAACTGAGAGTGAAAAGCAAAAACCTTTTCGAGATCGGAAGCTCCAAAAGTTAAGAGCTGCATGTCCTCTACAGCTTTGAGAAAGTTCCTCATGTTTTCGAAAAACTGGATCGCGGATTGAGCCGCTCCGTCTGCATATTGAATTGCTAGCGTGACGGGATTCTCCACCACCTAAGCTCAACAATTGAAATCACCGGAATTTGAATATTGTAGAAGATAACCAGAATTTCGGAGTAATCTAGGCAAAGATCGATCACGAAACTATTTGAATTCGGGTAAAATTCGAGCGAAATTAGACCTTGAGAACCGAACCGGGATTGACTTTGTTGAGGACGTTGCAGAGAATGAGGCCGTTGCGGAGGGCGAGAGAGAACTCTTCCTCCGACGGTTTTTCCGGCAGCGTCGCCGCCGCGGCTTGGTCCATTTGTCGCAGCCATGCCACCGCTTGGTACCTTCTCTTAGCTTATGAATTTTGTGACAATTTTACAACAGCAAAATATGTTATCTCGGAACGGAAATTTAACGCGGGAAATAAGTTGGGCCTAGATATTGATTAAAAGCCCAATATGTAGCCTAGATTAATGGGTATTGAAAGAGTCCACCACATTCTTTTGGCTTTATACAAATGTTTTCTTTTTCCGCTAAAATGTTTCTTTTTTTCCTTCTAGAAGAAATATTTGAAATAGAAAAAGAATTCGGACGCTATATACAATTTTGAACATAATATTTCTGTCAAAGTCAAAATCATATCATCTTGTTTGTCAAAATGATATAAGTAAGTTGGTTCATAGATTGCATGTTTTAAAATAGCAGAGTTTGCATAGAGATTTGACACGAAATCACGTTATTTTAAAATATATACGAAACAATAGTTTATAGAGTACAACTTTGCTATCACTTTTTTTGCCAATTTTGACCCAAAAAATCGCCATTGAGCAAATATTATAGTCAATACTGTGATTAGATGTAACGTGTATCGTATACGTATATCCATCAAGCATAAATAAAATAACTAAGAGTTGTGGTGGGTAACCCATTTCATAAAGCATTTTTTCTAAACGACTTTTTCTAATTCAAATCCAACGTAATTATTTTGAATTGCAAAGCTAATTAACATAGATGGTCCATTCGCGACTTCTTCTTTTTCTTTACTTTATCTGATTTATCTTCAATTTCATAATGAAGACTGTTAAAAGAAAAACAAGCAATGATGAGACAAACCTGTTTCTTCAGCTTTACGTTGAGCAAGTTCATAATCTCCACTGCTTGTGGACACCAAATCCTTTAGTCCTCTCATTAGTTCTTGTGGCATTTTTTCCTTTCTCCTTCAAAAATATAGTAGTGTTTCTGAAAATCAGTCTTCATCAATACGCATTAATCAAATTTAGCAAAAAAAAAAAAAAAAAAAAAAACGAAATGCTTAATAGATGATCGGAGTAAAATCCATATAATAATTTGGTTGACTAAATAAAACAAAATTAGAATTATTAAGCATTTAGCAGCAGGATAAGAAATTCAACAATAGATATGTATATGCATAACGTTGTGAAGGATTCAGACTAGAGTTAGAAATGGAATTAAAGAGAATTTATACGAACCTTAATCAGAAGAGCAGAATCTGAAGGGACAAGTCAACACTCGGAAGATGTTGTTCATCGATCGTACACCATTCGAACCAAGACGAAAGACATGAGATGATGACCTCTTGGATCAAAGCGTAACTTCTAAGAAGAGAAGCAAGATAAAGAGAGAAAGAGAGTAAAGAATTGTGATAGAGAAAAAAAATCAAGAGTTGAGTCGCTGCCTTTTGCACTTTTGTTTCTTTTTGTTTATAACGGGTAGAAGAAGATGGAGAAAGAGAGACGTGTTGAGAGATAATCAAGTGTTGGTTCACTGTCTTTTTGTTTATTTATTGTGTTTTAAGAAAACGTTCGATTTTTAATACTTTTCTATATATCCGAAAGTACTATTTTGCTCTATACTTTTTTTTATCAGTGTGTGTATTATCTGATGTATTTTTGTTATTTTATAGCTATGAGTACTCTCACAGCATAGTTTTACACTTGTACTTTGGTTAATTAAGGTAGAAATTCAAATATTTTTTATCAGAAAAAAATAAATCTTATATCATAGTGCCGGTTAATTATGTAAATCTTTTATTTAAAATAAAATATTGTATTTTCATGCGTATAATTAGTAAATAACTAAATATTACTCATTATTTTTACTAAATGATGCAGTATTATGGGATGGTTGACCCTTGAATTACTAAAGATTACACGTGGCGTGCATCCATAGAAGTCAGACATTGAAAATTCTGGTCGTATGTACGTCCACCTGATACCTCACTAAAAGCAGCGTGGTATACTAAATTATTTACTAAATTATTTATGTTTTAGTAAATAAATAAAACAATTAGTAAATACAATACATGAGTTTTTTGAATAAATTATGTCTTTATGTGTTAGGTGAGACTACTTGTTAAAGAATAAGGAAATATAATTTTTTTTTTGTTTAACATACAACGGTGAAACAAACAAAACCAAAAAGAAAAGTGAATATAAATGGGCGGCCAGCATTTTCAAAAACACTCTACTGGGAATAAAAAAATATTTGCTCTTGTATGAAATCGTTTGCATTGCAATTATGTAACTGTGATAGCCATGGATTTTGTGTTTCTTTATTTTATGGTTGAAAAATGAAAATCGATTTAAGTATTTTTTTTGTTAAAAAATCGATTTAAGTTTTGCCTTTAATTTTATTGTAAACAGATCCTTTATTAAATTAATATAAGAAAATCTTTAACCAAAAAAAACAAAATGGGATGTTTATTTCCACGGCAAAAAAAAAGAAGAAAGCTACAAGAATCCTGGATGTTGGATTCTACGGAATTCAAATGATGACGGGCGGCACAATAAAAGCTATCGGAGATTGCTTTTTCACATTTTTTTCTAAACCAATTTGGCAATCACAAAAACATTTGGACATTTTTGCTCTGAACGTATTTGGGTCGTATTGGACCTATTGGTTTTGAAAAAGCAGATACAAACTGTTTTGGACGTTAAGATTTGTTACTTTGATTTCTACATCATTGGATTATCACTTTAGGTGTATGTAACAAAATATCATATATTATATCAATTTGGTTTAACAAAATATTCATGTTTTTACAGAATAATAATGAATTTTAATAATCTAAGATTTATAAATTAATTTAATACTAATATCGATATGTGTTAGGCAAAAGTCGCAAACTATTATATTTATATTTTTATATAATTTTGTATATGATTATTATAAACTAAAAGGTAATATGGAATAACATGAATCAAGTTTGAAACTTGTATAAATTTTCTCTTCCAAACAATGCTTTACATGTATATCATATTGTTATACAAGTTGAAACAAAGAAGGGCACACAAAAAAAAGAAGGTGAATTGAAAAGCAAGAGAAGAATAACACTAGCTAGCTAGCTTGATGTAAAACAGTAGAAGTGTGTATTCAGATATGACAAAAGTAACTGTGAATCAATTAGTTTCCTTTTTTACTTGCTCTGTTTTTACTTTCACGAACTAATCAATTAGGGTTAAGACATTGAGATTATAACAAAAAGAAGAAAGAAAGAAGTATTTATGAGTGCAAGAATGCTTTGTTTGTTTGTTGCTCGCATGGGCCATTCTTTCCCATCATTTGCGCATGAATCTCATCCTCTTCTTTTTTCCTTTACCTCAAATTGCGCATCAATGTCTGTGAATTAATATGGGCTGGGCTATGAGAGGCCTAAACTTTTACTCAAAGAAGTTACTTACATCATGATAAAACCCAAAACTGAAAGAAGTAACCTACATCATGTCGTTGGTGTTGTGTCGAGGAAATAGTAGATAGTGTCTTCAATAGCACTAACATGGAGACTGCGAAATTGACTTTAACGCCATATTGAGCGAATCAACATCATCAGATTGCTTCTCCTCATCTGCATCAGGTCAAGGCTAATAATGCATGCTATGGAATTCCGGTTTTTGTCAGTGATTCGCTGGCGGTTAGTTTGTATCTAGTGTACCTAATTGTGGACCAGTGAACGATATGAGAATAGTTTCAACCTTTAATTCTTAAAACCAAAATCTTGTAGGCTGAAATCAATCAACCTTTACATGTTTATATAATGCTTTTGCTTAGTTCTACTTAGATTTTCAACTGATACGTGCCAATGAGGTGATATAAGAAATAGTATGGTATCTAATGGTTATGGTCCTATGAACATGTTGGACTTTCGCTTATCAACGCATACGTGATTTGATTGTTGCAGGAGGTATAGTGGTTTACATTTCATGAACTCAACGTAATAATTTCTGTGTTGTGGGTATTTTCAATACCAAGCATATTTTTAACGTTTACATGTTACAAGGACCAATCATCTGCTGTACAAGAATCAGTTGGTTTTTATTTTCTGTTTGCTTAATTTAAACCTCAAAATAATTGATCGTTAAAATTTCAGCAGCTGAAATCGTTGGAGAATTTCATCAAATGTAAACTCTTATTTTCATATGTATTGAAGTCACATACTTCTGAAAGAGGAAGACAAAGTTGGACCTTCTTATCTTCTGACTGTGTTCACCTTTCACTTTGATTCTTCGTTTAAGCATATGTGGCCAGATCACTTGGATTTTATTTTTCTAATGTTACAGATCGCAGTTGGAACCTCTGGGAAATCACGAGTTATTCGATCCTGGACACCGCCTCTCGATTCTTCTTCTGGTCCCTAACCATGTTCTTACATTAGATGATGCGTTTTACATGACTTCTTATGACGATGAAGTAAATGTTTTAGTACTGTTATTTGAGCTACTTGAATGATGTAAATGTTTATGTAAATATACTTTTACGTACAGAGATGTCTAAGCATGGAAACTTTGAATTAAAACTGAACAAGGACCATCTCTAAAATGTAAACAAGAAAGAAGAAGAGAAATAAACACTAAATAAAATGTATATGTTGTTTCTGTTACCATGAAGGACTGATGATGTTGGTGGTAGAGATTGGAAACTCTGACATATTCAGACCTGAAATGCTGCTATCGATGGGTCTCTTAGAGGATGTTCAGATCAGTAGCTTCCAAACATCTGCAGAAGATGAAAAAATATAGTTTAATTTTATTTTTTTTGTTAAAGGATTGTATGGGTTATAAAACAGTTGACTAAAGTTGATTTATATTTTGATAAAAAAATAATTCGATATACATGGATTGTAGAATTAACTCAAAGATCAATTTTTAACATTTGACTCAAATTAAAGTGAAAAAAAAAAACTTCCAAACATCTGCAGAAGATGTTTCTAACTGTGAAGTCTTCAAATATCTTTCTCGCCGTCCGTTCATCATCAGTTAGAAACATCTTCAAACATCTTCAAATATCTTCAAATATCTTTCTCGCCGTCCGTTCAACATCTTCTGCAGATGTTTGGAAGCTCTTTGAAGATATTTGAAGACTTCACAGTTAGAAACATTTTAACATGGACTGATGATGTTGGTGGTAGAGATTGGAAACTCTGACATATTCAGACCTGAAATGCTGCTATCGATGGGTCTCCTAGAGGATGTTCAGATCAGTAGCTTCCAAACATCTGCAGAATATCTTTCTCGCCGTCCGTTCATCATCAGAAAAACAGAAGGATCATGAAGAGAGCAGAAGAAGAATCAGATCCCGTCCCGAATGATCTCCTTTTCGAGATATTCTCGAGACTGCCTTCAAAGTCAATCGGGAGGTTTCATTGCGTGTCGAAACGATGGGGTTCCTTGCTTCGTTGTCCAGATTTCACTCAGTTGTTTTTGACCAGGTCACAGGCTCGTCCACGTCTCTTATTTCTCCTTGAAGAAAACAACTATCAGTGGAACATGTACTCGTCGCTTCAGCTGCAGAATCCATATGAGAAGTCTTCTCTTGTAGTATCTGCCGATTTTCATACAAAGATCCATGGATATACTTATAAACACCTTTGTGGCTATGCCTCTGGTTTGGTCTTTTTCCCTAATATGTGGCTCTCAAACAGGTATTATGATGTGGTATGTAACCCTATGACAGGACAATATTCGATCTTACCTGAAGTGGAGAAATACAATGGGAACTGTTGGGAAAGCAATTCAAGGTATTGATCGAGGGTAGTTATCCATTTTCTACTGAAAGACATCAATATAAAATTCTGACATTAGGAACTGGAGAACTTAGGTGGATGAGTAAGAACGGTTTTCCGAGGTACAACACTTGTTGGAGTGAAGGGATATGCATCAATGGGGTTTTGTATTACTTAGCTTCAGGGTCAACAGTTTGCCTTGATGTTAGGTCTGAGAAATGCAAAATCATCATTGACACAAAATGGATTCGTAGGCCATATGCTACTACATTGATAAATTATAAAAGTAAATTAGGTGGGATTAGTTGGGAGTATGGTAAAGATGATATTGGAAGGCGTATCCTTGAGTTGAGTATGTGGGTTTTAGAGGATGTCGACGAACATGAATGGTCGAAATATGTCTACACTTTGTGTGATGATAAAATTGTTGATGAGGAAGTTTTCGTTGTTGGAGTGACTGCTAGAGGTGATATTGTTTTGTCAATGAAGAGGAGAACTACATGTAAACGGTTTTATGTTTTCTACTTCAATCCCGAAAGTAACGCTCTCCAGAGTGTTGAAATCCAAGGTTTTGGTGAGCTTCTTGGTAATATGAAAATATTTGTAGACCATGTAGATGATATTCTTACGATGGATATTATCAAGACAAGTGCCATAACGGAAGCGTAAAGCCACGAGTACATCAACATCATCTAAAGATGGTCGTCAAGATATCAAAGAAATTCTTTAAGAAATTGAGTTATTTTTTTAGTCATGTTGGCTGAAGTTTTTTTCATAGTAAGTTTTGAGTGTGACTTTTTCATGTACAGCTTGCGTGTGAGTTGTCACTCTGTTGGCTTTAGCAGTTTGTTCTTTCTGGTTTTCATGTTCATAACCTAATTGTGTCACCCGTTATGTGGGTCAGCAAACTGATGTTTTATCCAGTACATTGCGTTTCATAAAACTCTTTTATTTGCTCATGTCAATGCCAACGTAAAACATAACGTTGTTTGGTTAAGTGAAGCCGAAATAATTGGCATGTATTTTTCTATAGAAAAAATAACATTCATACCAAAAAGAAATATTTGGCATCGAGCATTAATAAAACCAACAATTTTGGACAATAAAATGCGAAATTTATTTTTTATTTTGTTTTGGGGGAACAGACAGAAAAGAAAAATGAGAAAAATAAAATAATCTAGGAAGAAATGCGAATTAGATATTTTTATTTTGTTTTGAGGGACAGACAGAAAAAACACTTAAAAAATTATAATAAAATCATAGATATAAATATAGACAGCGCGGCAAATCCCAGAATGCATGGCTGATGGCTCCCTTCGACGTCACCTACCACCTTACATAAATCTCTTCCACCTACCACACCACTTATTCCACCATTTCTCTCGACTCCTTTTAAATAAAATTTATATTACATTCCTTTTAAATATTGCTATAATTCGGCCTCCTCGCTTTACACAATTTTAGTACTAACAAAATATTACATTTCATAAAATCTATTTTTGCTTAGCTATTGACAATGACTCATTTCACAAGTTTTACGAGAAATATATGAATCATTACATACATATATGATATAAGAATTGCAAAGAGACAAAATCAACTACCACCACTTACGTAATATACTAATATTCATCAAGGCCTCTCATCTTATGTCGTAACGCTACACTGGGCAAATACTATTCATGGATCATGGCTGTTATTTATGATCGAAGACAACAACATGATGATGCTACAATTTTTTATATATTTGAATATAAGAAATATTTTGGACCGTCGATCTCTGATCTCTCCCCCACCAAACCCCATATGGTTTGTTCTCTCCTACCATCATTTTTTTTTTTTTTTGATAAAGGGTTTTCTCTCCTACCATCATCACATAACCCTTTACCCATCCGAAATTTAAATTTAACTGATCTTTTTGATTGCGATAATTCTGAATGTGGTCATAATCTACAGCAATTAATTTTAAGGATGATACACATATCCCAAACAATATCTTGATTAATTTGTGATTGTATGTATGGGAAGAGAACCAATGGGTAGTTGTTCAATAACTGCATTTTGATGAGTGATGAAAATTAACAAATTTTTGAGTGTTGTCTCATTTTGGTCACTAGATGTGTGAAAGTAGCAAAACAAATTTGGCTTTCTATAGATTCCGAGATGGTTATTACAGATTTCGGTTTGAAATTCTCTACGTTAGTAAAAAATATTGGTTGTTGAAAGATTCTTATATGTCCACTGATTTCGGACGTATGTGTTTATGGCGAGACCTAACTTTCTATAAAGTTAGCACAACGAGTCCTTGTTTTCGACTACATTTTAATAAATTATAGAAGATTTTATAAACAAAATTGAAAACGAAGACTACAAACCCAACAAAAACAAAAAACAATGATTCACTGGTCCCAAAACAAATGGTAATAGATTAGATAGAACCACAATGTATCTCTTTTGTCTTGAGCCTCCCTCAATACTATAACGATTCAGTCTAACTTTCCAAACAATTACAACCAACAAAAGATCGAGTTTCCGTTTTAACGTATCAAAGAGTTGTATGTAGTATTTGTACGTACGTGCACTCTCTGTAGTCATCACTCATCAGAAACCAAAAGCAAAATATAGCCAGGTGGAAATATATATATGCGTTATTACTTATTACTATATTCATCAGTCAATAGTATGTAAGTTTCTTGAAAATTATATTGCCAATTTCTTGTGACGGCCAGCTAGTTGGTTTGTTTCAAAGTAAAACGTGGAACAATTGAGTTCACACGTGAGCTTGACTCTTGTTTTTGTATTTATATTGAAAATTCAGAGGAAATCTTCACTGGTTACTTAAAAGATATTGATAATATTCGTTTGGTACCAAGGAAATACATCTGCAACTAACTAAAATAATACAAGCTTATTTTATCAAATATAACTTCAAACAAAATCTTTATCTTAAACAAACATGAGAATTTGCTGCTTTTCTTTGTAAACACCGATTTGATCACTTAAACATATATAACTGCGAATCAATTACAATATTCATCACTAGTAACAACTGAGTAAGATATATCTTGTTTATACTTTATAGTAACAGATAAATAAAATAAATTGTATTCTCCTAACGGGAACAACGACCTCTACATTTTCGTTTAAATTCAGTAATATATATATTACAATTTTTCATACAAAAAAACTTATTGGTGCGTTTTACTTTTGTTCGATGAGTCATGCGTCTTCGGTGGGTGACATGGACCATGGCGTCATATCCATGGGGTAACTTCCCAGCACTCTCAGGAACGACGTGTACTCTTGAACCTCCGCAAGCGCGTTCTGTGCACGCGCCTCCGCCATCGAGGCCTCGAAATCGACGTAAAACATGTACTCGAAGTTCTTAGCCGTCCCGAAGCTCCCGTCGCCAACCACTCTGAGCGGACGGTTGTGGTGCGGCCGTGATTCGATCTTGGTCAGGCTGATGTTTCTGAAAGCGAAGGCCGAGAGGACTTTGAAGAGGACGCTGGTTCCTTTGTGCTCCTGCGCGGCGAAGACGATGCTCGTCTTGAACGGCCGGTCAGTGCGCGGGATTATCGGCTCACGCGCTAGCATTAAGAAGCGCGTGACGTTTCCGGGATCGTCTTGGATCCCGTCAGCTAAAATCTGGAGGTTGTAGAGCTCCGCCGCTCGTGCGCTCGCCACAGCCGCCGTGTCGTGGAGGTTGTTAGCTGCTATGTACTCTGCCGCAGCAGCCGTGTCGTGGAAAGCCTCACGCGCCGCGCGTGGTGTGAGTCTGTCTAAGGAGCTCTCCGTCTGGGCCAGTGCCTGCGGGTGAGAAATTACGCGCGAAACGCAGTCCGTACGGACTCCAGGGAGCGCGAGGAGGCAATGGTGTACCGGAATCTGAACTTCGCCGACGATGTGGAGACGGTGACGGAGGAGGAGATCGTAATTCCGGTGAATCGAACCGCCGAGTGAGTTCTCCACGGGAAGAACGGCTCGATCGGCGATCCATAGCTCCACCGCCTGAAAAGCGACGTCGAATTGGTCACACGGAATGGCTTCACAATTTGGATACGCTTTTCCGGCGGCTGCCTCAGAGTACGCACCGGGAACTCCTTGATAAGCTACACGGAGGCTAGATCCGTGCAACGGCGCCGGGGATAGATCTGTAATCGTCAAAGGCTGAACTGGCGCCAATTTTCCGCTGGTCTTCTCGACGGGAACGAGACCGAGATTAACGGATCCGTTTGAGTGACCGTTAACGACGGCGATTTTGCTGGCCAAACCGCCGGGATCTTCAAGAGAATCGACTTTGCTGGATAAAATGGCGCATGAGCTTTGCCAATCGGCTCGGCTCACGGAGACGCCGTTGGGGAAGCTAAACGACTCAGACCTGTAACCGCACTGAACAGACACGCGCTTCGGAAGAGAGTGGGAGAAACGCGCGGTCTTAGCCGTCGGATTTGTTGATCGGAACTTGAGATCACACGACGAAGCGGCTTGCATTTTGTAGAGTTTCGGTAAATGAACAAACCAGTAAGACTGAAAAACGGCGACGTTTGATTGAATATAGAAATATTGAAGCTTTGAGTTTCTTTCGTTGAGAGAGAAGCTCAAGCTGAGAGAGAACGGAGAAGAGGGATGTTCTTATATACACAGAAGCTTAAAAAAATGCGTGACGTTTTTTTTTGAAGTCTTTGACGTAATTCGGTAAAATCTTTCACCTACCACTTCCATTTAATTTCTGTTGTATTTTTATATTTTTCTGAAAAGCTATTGTTTGGAAGTAATTTTTTTTTTAATATGCATAATAACAGCGACTTTATATTTTTAAAAAATATCTATCTTGTTGTTTGCGTGAAAACGATATTCCTCTTACCGTATTTTGTATTTATACATGCAACATGTTTTTCTATAAATGCAACCTATAAAGAATTAATAAATATTAGGGGTAGGCATTCGGTTATTTGATTCAGTTTTAATATAATTTTATATTTTTTGGAATTTCGAAAAAACTCTTTATTCGAGATCGAAATATATTTTGAATTGGTGTCTGAAAATTTTGGTACGAGTACAAAGATATAGGTTTGAATAGAAATAATGTTAACAAGGCTAAAATTATATATACATAGTGTTTTCTAACTTTCTTGTAATTAGAACTTAGGCAAAATCACATAAAACAAAGATTTGAATTATGGAGTAGTAGGCCCAAACTTTCCTTTGTTTTATTGGGAATTTGTACGTACACGGTTTTAGCTCACCTTCTTTTACTTTGACATGATCGTCAATCTGTGGGTTCATGCCATAAAGGACACACACAAACATATATCAATGCTTTTTATATTATCAGGTTGTAGGTCAAATGGAAACACACAAACGTTAGAGCCTAGAGGTACGCTGTGGCATCTACTGCGAATCTTCCTGGTTCACGGATGAAAATCCTCTTACAATCTAAATTTTAGCTCTACATAGAATGGTTTCATAGATTCAAAACTGGTTCGAAATGTTAGTGTTTTAAAACATTATTATTTTTTATATCTGGTAACAAACAACACACATTAATTATAAAAAAATTATAAGAATTTGCGTTGGGTTTTAAACTTTTTAGAAGGTCGAAGCGTTTAAAGCAATTTTGACCACTTGTTTATGTTTGATGCCTAAAGTTATAGTTTGTTGGATTTTATCCCATGATCGGGTCTCGACAGATTCATCTAACTAATTTTGACAATTACCTACAAACTTTTACAGAATCAATTTTTTTTCTTCATATTTTTACCCCTTTTACTATTCTGAAGTATTGGAATCTGTAAGAAATACGAAAAACCAACATTTAAGTAGATATTTTTAACCTGACCAAACATGTACAATTACATATTTAGTAGAACGATGTTAAAAATGTGATTGAAGATGTTGGTGAAAACTATACTAATTTAGTGGAATAATCATGATCCACTATTCGGGAATCCAAATAAAATGAAGACGCAAATTCTAGATTTTTTTTGTTTTACACAAAGCCATACATATGAGAAAGCATATTAAGTCTGAAGCTAAATAAGCACAATTTACAAATCAAAAACAGATGAGAAACAGAGTCATAGAGAAAAGCAGAACAATCTGCGTTTTGCCAGATAAAGCTCGAGACTTTGTTCCAATGTTAACAATTTTGTTCTCTGCAAAAATCACCCACAAAAAGAGAAGATTCACAAACCAAATAGATAATCTAATAATCTCCATTGATGAAAGAAAAAAAGAAGCTTATAGGACTTAACTGCAATCTTTAGGATGGCAGAGACATCTCAGAGCAGCTCCACAGTTACCGTCTGGTCTTTCACAGGCGATGCATAAATCCGGCAAGTGACCATCGACTTCTAAAGAAACCCTAGCTCCCAATTTCTTCACTTTCTCACTTCCGGAGGAGTGAGAGAGGATTAGGGTTTTGGTTGCGTAATCGATGGAGGAGACGTGGAAGAGACCTATTGAGGTTTTGAAGTAGAGTTTTCCAGATCTGCAGGTGATGAGATTCGTTGCGGCTATGATCGATTGGTTTGAGATTGGGGAGAGGTAAAGGTCTCTGGTTTTGAGTTTGCTGCAGTAGTGGGATTCTTCTTCTTCTTCTTGTGGGTTTTGTGTGGAAGGTGAGAAAATGAGGAAGAAAGTGAGAGAATGTAGGAGGAGAAGAAGAAAGCCAATTTTCTTTGGAGTTTCCTTCATTTTCTTCTCTTTGTGCAGTAACTCGGTTTCACAATGGAATGTAAAGTTTTTTTTTTCATTTTATTTAATTATATTTTTCTTTTTTTTCTCTTGTGCTACTGTTCACAGTTTGAAATTTAAATCTTCGTCGAAACTTAAATTGGTTTGGAATCCAGTGTTTTTCACTTAATTGTTTGTAGGTAAAAATGAATAAAAGGATGTACAATTTCAAAAATGTACATAGTGTTGTGTTGTGTTTATCAGATTGATTAACAGACTCGATCACTCGAAGGTAAGTAGAAGATAATATTAACAAACAAGAGAGACCAACATTTCTATATACATTACTATACAGTACATGTATAGTAAGTAGTAACTGTAAGTGGTTTAGTCTTTCAAACTTGAAGAATACTGTACGTCCAAAATGGAGTTTGTGAGAGTTTTTTTACCTTTCAAGCCTTGATGGGCCAAGTTTAGTGGCTACTTTAATGATTAGATTGGGCTTATGAATAGATAAGATGTAAGAGTTCGTAAGTGAGCAGAGAGAGTTACGTTTAAGCTAAATCGTAATCTCTTTTTGTTTCTTTAATTTTTTTTTTTTTAAATTAGGCTGTAATAGGAAATAACAAATGCTACAAACTATTAGAAAAGAACAATGCACATATTCACCTCACTGAGATGTCGTACAAAACCACAAATACAATATTTTTTAAGTTCCGAAGGAAACACATAAGGCAACGAACAAAAGGAAAACCATCTTGGTCGTTGTCTTTCTCACGTCAAATGATTTAGTGTTGTGTAGGCATGTGAACTGTGTCAGCTTGCGTCTAGGCCCGGTGTCGAGATAGGCATAATTCGGCCGCTCTTTTTGCAAAAACATAAAAATAAAATTGTTACTAAGCAAGGCGCATAAATTAGTTATAAGGTGCATGTTCATATGCAAGTGCTTCATTTTTTTCTCTTTCTTTTGTGTACCTGGAACGTGAACCGGAGTTGACTTCCTAAAAAAGAGTGTTGCAAATACGAACGTCGCTATTGCTCCCGTTATCAATGTTACTGCGATTAGCAAAACCGAACTTGATTATATAATCTTGTAATTTCTTTGGTAGCACCAAGCCACAAGCATCTAACATGGAAGACATTAAAAGATAAAGAAGCTTTGGCATGCATAGTTTGGTATACCTAGTTTGTACTTTCGTTCTCCCCAAGAGGCTCTCCCTACTACTATAAAGAGTAGGCATAAAGCAACAGGAACATTTCTTTCCAATATTCTCATTCCTGTACACACAAGAAAGGTCAGATCTTTAACCAAAATTGGATATACAATTTTGGAAACACAGACGTACCAAGTTCATAAATCTTTGTGTACTGTTTGTGTTCCTTCAAGTCTCTTATGCATAGTACCACCTGAACGACTAAGAGAATGGCTCCCACCATCGTAATTCCTAACAACAACGAAAAAAAAAACAATATGATGTGCTTTTTTAGCCATATGGCCCATAACATTAAGGAGCATATATATATATATATATATATATATATATATATATATATATATATATATATATATTGTACCTCTTTTATACTTAGGCTGGCTCTGGTTCGATCTCTGCATTCTTAGCCATAGTATAGGAACGAGAAGAAGGGTTGCCACGCCCACAACCACAGTGGTTCCTAACTCCAAATCCATTTGCTCCGTTTCTGTGGCGTGCCTTGGCAAACGTGCAGCGTCTGCGTCGCTTATGTAGAAACAATGGATCTACAATGTTAATGAACGACAGTTCATTAGTCAAAAGTCTGCGATCTCTTTAATTACTTTAGACTTCACAATAAAAACAAACTACAAAAATATGCACAATATAATGTAATACTGACGTGCAAGTGTAGATTAGTATATAAGTATATTTCTTTTCTTTTATCCAAGACGTGGAAATATCCAATTTCGAAGATCCAAATTGGAACTGACCCGAAAAGGTGTTCGTGGTTTCAGATCCCCAATAGTCCTTTTTTCTAATAGTAATATGGTTAAAGTCTTCAATGTGGCACATGCTTGTTATAGAGTGCAGTTGCACTGCACAACCACAATTTAAAATAGAGACGAAAGGTAAATATAGATCTGAACTTTGTGAAAGTCATTGATTGGAACAAAAAATCTAAAGTCAATAAGACAATAACTGATCAGTGCATTATTGTGTTGATCAAAAGGGTCGTTGTATATTCACACGAGAGGATAACTACCAATACATGGAGATAAATAAGATAATCTTAACTACGATAAAGTTAGATATTAGATCAAGTAACATATTATAGTCTATAAAGGATTAATCTTACAATATGTGCATCCTCGATAACTGTCATCAGTGAGTCCAAACTTGTTGAAGAGAGTATAAACACATATCAGCCAGTTGGTCAGCGGAGTGGACGCCACTAACTCGTAGCGCGCCTAACTGAACTTGATTTTTTGATACAGTGATAATCCAAAGCTATATTTTTATATTCTTGAGTGAAACACTTGATTAGCACAAACACTTTTTATTGTGTTTAGGTTGGATCTGGTTTGCTCTCTGCATGGCTATCCATAGCACGGGAACAATAAGAAGGATTGTTACGCCCACACATACACTGGTTGTTTCCATATCTATTAAGTTGGTGTGAGTTTATTTAGCTGATTTTGGATCTTATTTGATCGCCTGGCCAGCGTGAAGGATTATATATATATATATAGAGAACCCATGGATCCATAATATATATGATGTCAATCTAGACGACTTGAGATTTCAAAGTCCTACAGTCATTTAAAACTATATATATCAATTTGCTTCACAAGTATGATAAAACGCATATATTAATATTTCGTGCATGTGTGGTAGATCTTCTTTTCTCATCTTCATCCCTGGTCTTTTTCTAATGCAGTTCGTGCTTTACGAGAAATGTTTAAGCTAATGACTAGTGGTAAATTTAATTACCTAGGAGTCCTAATAAAAATTAGTTGAGGAGTTAATAACTAAGACTCTCACGTATACCTCGATCCGGGCAGAGAAGAGCACTTTTTATTAGTTTAGTCACTAGTCGACTGGTCTTTTGATATCTATTCTTAATCTAACGTCAATGGTCTTATTTTAGTTGATATAGACTTCTTTCTCAAAGTTTTTTTTTGGTTTTAAAAGTCTTCTTTCTCGTAGCTGGTAAAATACTTTTGTTTATTTCTTCATCCACTCTCTTTGAATCTCAAACTACATTTGGTTACAAAAATGGACAACAATGATGACGAGGACGGTTGTATGGCTCTACCTCCAGATAAACCTTGTGACCTACTCTCAGGAGGATCCGTCCCAAAGCTTCTGAAGAAATCAGCCGGCGGAGAAAAATGTTGCATCTTTAGAATCCCTCAGAGACTCGAAAAGAACAACGAGAATGCTTATGAGCCTAGGGTTGTCTCAGTAGGCCCATACCATCACGGGAAAAAACATCTTGAGATGATCCAAGAGCACAAACATCGTCTCCTAGGGTTTTTCATGGATGAAGTTCAAGAAAAAGGTGTGGATCCGAAAGATTTGATCGAAACAGTGTCAAAGTTGGAGGAAGATATAAGAGAGTCTTATTCCGAGAGTCTTTATCATGGTGATGATGATTTGTCCGGCTCGAAGAAACTGATTGATATGATGGTTCTTGATGGTTGCTTCATTCTCATGTTGTTCATGGTAGTAGCTGGAGAAGTCCGGTACAATGGTGTTGAAGATGATCCTATTTTCAGAGTGCCATGGATCTTACCGGCGATAAGAAGTGATCTACTTCTTCTCGAGAACCAGGTTCCTTTCTTTCTTCTTCAAACCATATTTGAAAGATCGAAGATGGTAACCTCGAGTGGGCTAAATGCGATTACGTTTAACTTCTTTAGCTACTCCATAGATAAACCAGATGAGTTTTGGTTGAAACGACAGAAACTTGAGGCAAACCATCTTCTTGATCTGGTTCGCAAGATTTTTATGCCTATCTTGCCTCAAAAACAAGAAGAAGAAACGGATCTTCCTCGCCCTTTTCTTGGATTGATTCTATCGGCAAAGAAACTTCAGTTACGTGGCATAAAGTTCAAACCAAGGAACAACGCAGAAACACTATTAGACATAAAGCTTAACAAGAACGTTGTGGAGGTACCACAAATGATCTTGGATGATTTTATCATCTCGGTCTTCTTGAACTGTGTTGCCTATGAGCAGATTTATGCAGATTCTACAAACCACATAACCAGCTATGTCGCTTTCATGGGATGTCTACTAAAACATGAGGACGACGCGGCGTTTCTAAACGAAAAAGGGATTATAGAGAACTATTTCGGATCGGGGGTTGAAGTCTCTCAAATCTTTAAGGTCATTGGTAAAGACATTGTCTTCCACGTCTCTGAGAGTTACTTAGCTGAGGTTTTTGAAGGGGTTAATGAGTATACTTCAAGAGGATGTCATGTACATTTGGCTGGATTCGTGCATACACATTTTGATACTCCATGGACGTGTCTTTCGTCTTGCGCTGCTTTGACGCTTCTCATTCTCACGGTGTTTCAAGCATTCTTTGCAGGGTTTGCTTATTTCCGTCCTCCCAAAGACAAGTGAATGGTGAGGTCGTGTAGATCCATGGTTGAGAATTCGAGACCAAGAACAAGACTATTTCTTAGAGAAGAGATATCATTGTCATTTTTTTCTTGGTAGATTTGATCTTTGAATTTTTAAATTTATTTATTTCCTCCTTTTATCTCTTTGATTGATTATTTAATATTTCCTCCATAATATTAAATCAAACTTCGAACATACTTTTTCCAAATCTTGTTATATAAAGCTAGATGTGCAATGCATAAGACTTTCATAACTTAAAGATTGCGACATAAGTTTAATATTGAAATGTATTAATATCGAAAGTAATATTAGAAATGAAAAACTTAAAAAATCATTGTTACGCAACTAAAAAATAATAAAAGGAAAAATCTTTCTGATGAGGAAGCTCTTCGACGCAGGAGATATCTTTCTGATGATGATCGAAATCAAGAGTACTTAAATGATGATGAGCGCTTGCAACTACACAATGGTGGTCGTGTTAAAGTTCATGCCAATAGGAAATATCCAGAAATGTTAACTGCAAGAGATGAGTATGGTCTCAGAGATGAGGCGGTAGGCGAGGTAATACATGAGAATATGGCTGATGATTACAACAACTATGGCGATGTTAAGCAACTGGGAATGTCTTACGAGAAGGTAGATCATAGTGGAAGGCTTCAGGGTCATAATTACAGAGACAAGCTAAGGTATTATGAAGTGGAAGGAAGAACAAGCATTAAACAGTTCCGAAACTTGGTTGATGAAAGGAGTTTTGCTAATGATGGTCATCGTGTATCAACTCTGCGCCCTCGTGTTTCTGCTAAAGATCGGTTAGGTGGGCGTGTCGGAGATTCAGGTGTTCTTGTTAGGAATCAAGAGCTGCATCGGGTTAGAAACTCAAATCTCAAAGGTAAGTCAAGTAACAGGAGGTTCCAGAAGAATGTTTGGTGAATCATGAGGTTGCTTGCTCTCAACATGGTTAGTCTCCTCACACACAGAAAAAGTTTCGAGAGAAGCTCCAAGAAAATTTACGACTTGGGGTTTGGAGTTGGGATTTGAAAACGAAGATCCACAACTAATCTCCAGTTATGAAGTGAGAAATCAAGAAAGTCAATACAACTTTCTACTAGCATTCAGGATTTATAAGGTTTAGGTTGAGTTTTTGATTTTGTAAACATGAGAGGCTTTCTTCCCGTATAATTTCAGTTACCGTGGGAGAATCAGATAACAGACGCATTAGGTATTGAGAAATTGTAGTAACTAACATATTATAACACCGTATTTAAGTAATTGACATAAGCCATTACGATACATAGACAACGATATTATTTTGCCACCAATTTGGTCTAAAATAACCCCACGCGACCCATTTCCCATGTACAGTGCAACCTATTAATTGCAGTCCACAGAAAGTCTTTGTATGTTAATGAACACGTATTCTCAAGACGACAAGTGACAATTAAAGCGGCATAATAAAGTCTCAGTGCAATCTAAAAGTGCTTAATTTTCAATAACATTACAACAACAAAAAGTTATTCTAATTGTTTATTCAAATATTTACATTGGTTAATTAACAAATTATATATTCTCATAGCTTGATACTTATGAATTGTATAATATATGGTTGCCTCTAAATTTATATGGTAGATATATAAGTATAGTGCAATCTTTTAAAGATATACAAATGTTTATGGTTTGATATATATTAATATAATTGTCTACAGATATATGTAACAATGTATTTATATAGATATAGTTTTATATTCGTTTATATAGCCATCTATATTTTTATATGGTTGTCCATATATGTTTATAAATTTATATAACAATGTATTTAGTTGTCAATATATATTTATAGTTTCAAAATATATATATATATATATATATATATATTATAATGTAATGTGCTCTGTTGTGAATATAAACTTATATTTTGATATATTATGATATGGTTATCTAGGTATCTATGTAATTTTTTATTTAGTTATGAACATTATATGATTTGGAAAATTCACCTTATAATCTTAATTTTATTTCAATTTGATTATAAAAATTCGTAATTTAAAGAAAAGAGGAATATGAAAACTATGATTGTAAAAGAGAGAGGTAATTCACTTTTGAAAAAATGGAGATGGTAATAAGAAAACGAGCATTAAGATTTACATTTACTACACTAATTAATTCCATCTGAATTGTCTTCCCCACACGCATAATGCATATGTGCAACATAGCACAGCCCACTACAACTTTTGTACGGGTACCCTTATACCTTTTACCTCTAACGTTTTTTCAATATGTTAGTTATTTAATTATATCATCAAAATATGTTAGTTACCAAAATGACTCTTAGGTATTTTGGCTCTAGCTACAGAGAAACTCAAGTGATCATCTTGTAGTGAAGACGAATTAGTTCAATAACGAAATTGGTTTTTTTTTCTAATTTTAGTTTTGGTAATCTGTCTGTCCAATTTTGATTCGGTTTGCTTGATTCCAACAAAATCTATTACTAAAACCGTACAGTATTGATTTAGTTTTTGGTTTGGTTTGATTCGGTTTGGTTCAAATAACGGTAAGCTGCCGGTCTGGTTTTAAAACCCATAAGTCATCCGGTTTACCAATTACCATAAATCTCAGCAGAACGTTTAAAACGTTACCGTTTCACGTTAAACTATCCCTTAAGCTCTCTTCTTTTTGTTCTCTTCTCTTCTCTGTTCTCTCGGTAAGTGGTGAAATCCTGCGACTTCAACAATGGAGAAATCGTCTCGTGCCTACTGAAGGTCTGAAGCTACCGGAAAATATCTCTGTCTAGTCGTTCTTAAAGGTTGATTCGTGAGATCTCTGTTTATTCAAGAGATGCGCTCCAAGGACAAAATCTCCTACTTTTATGATGGTATATTCATCTCCCCCTTTTTCGTACTTTCCTTTACTTGTCTTCTCTTTTCTTAATGAAATACCCCAAAAATTATTGAAATTGATGTCTTTATCATCTAAATTGCATCGAAAGGTGGAATATTTCAATTTCTAGAATTATGTTAAGGATTACAATTAGTTCTGAAATTTCTAGCTTTAAGGTTTATTGTTTTGAGATGGGTTTTTAAATGAAATAGAAGAAGCTTTTTCTCGATTGAGCTCAAAAACAAGAAGACGGCTCTAAGTACCCTGTGCAATTGACTTCTTTGATTGTTAAATATGGAGCCCTATAACTTTTTGGTCAAATATTAGCTGTAGTTCATGTGTAAATCATCACATGTAGTGTTTGAATTTTTTTTTTCTTCTTGAGGATCCTTTCTAAGTAACTGTTACAGTCTTGATTATATGTAAAAAACTTCTGCAGCATGATTTTTGAATACTGTGTGAGATGGAGTTTTTGATGGGTTTATCTGTGTTGCAGGGGACGTGGGGAACGTATATTTTGGTCCTCATCACCCAATGAAACCGCATAGGCTTTGTATGACACATCATCTTATTCTTGCATATGGCCTCCATAGCAAGATGGAAGTTTATGTTAGTTTTCTTCTTTGCTCATCCTTCATCTTTATTCTTGGCTCTTGATTCCTTTTGCTTCACAATCTCACTTGTATCGTTTCAGCGTCCACACAAGGCTTATCCTGTTGAGATGGCTCAGTTCCATTCTCCTGACTATGTGGAGTTCTTGCAACGAATTAATCCAGAAAACATGAATTTATTTCCCAAAGAAGATTTGCGTAGATGTAAGTTTCATCTCTTTTGTAAAAATTGTTTTTTTTTTTCCTTAAACAATCTTATATGTTAAGCTGAAATGAAATCACTTTGATGCAGATAATCTTGGAGAAGATTCAGATTGTCCTATCTTTGAGGATATGTTTGAATTTTGTCAAATTTACGCTGGTGGAACCATAGGTAAATTCATAATACACACCATAAGTTCATGTTTTGGTTTTCACTCTAGAGCTTTGTTTACTGTTCGAATTCTCTTTTCTTGTATAGACGCTGCTCGCAGATTGAACAACAAGCTCTGTGACATCGCCATAAACTGGGCTGGTGGGCTGCACCATGCTAAAAAATGCGACGCCTCTGGCTTTTGTTACATCAACGATCTCGTGCTAGGGATTCTCGAGCTGTTGAAACACCATCCTCGTGTGTTGTACATTGATATCGATGTTCATCACGGTGATGGGGTTGAAGAAGCCTTTTACTTCACTGACAGAGTGATGACTGTTAGCTTTCACAAGTTTGGGGATGGCTTCTTTCCAGCGACTGGCGATGTCAAAGTAATGTTTTCGATTTTCTTTCTGTGTGTGAAGGCTGTTCTTGATGTGTTTTGGTTGAATATATAGGAAATAGGAGAAAGAGAAGGGAAGTTTTACGCTATCAATGTTCCGTTGAAAGATGGTATTGATGACAGTAGTTTCAACCGTCTGTTCAGAACAGTAAGTTTGTTTGTTTTTTACCTGAAACAATCAAATTTAAGTTTTTGTGTTCTCGCCTTTTGATATTCTTCTTTCCTTTAGATCATTTCCAAGGTTGTTGAGGTGTATCAACCAGGAGCAATTGTTCTTCAGTGTGGAGCAGATTCACTAGCCAGAGATCGACTGGGATGTTTCAATCTCTCTATAGATGGTGCTTTGCTTTTCTTCTTGTAATCAAAATCTTGATCTCTTTATCTTTGATCTCTCTCTCTTTCGCTAGTTTAGCAAACTCGGGGTTTTGAAACTGGTTTTGTGTTTACAGGACATGCTGAATGTGTGAAATTCGTGAAGAAGTTCAATATTCCCTTACTGGTATATAATCTTTCTTGATCTTTATATGTTTATACTTTATACTAAGCGTTTTAGTAATCTTTGGTTCGTTTTTTTTGGATTCTTGATTAGGTAACGGGAGGTGGAGGATATACAAAGGAGAATGTAGCTCGGTGTTGGACCGTTGAGACTGGCATTCTCTTGGACACTGAACTTCCTAATGGTTAGTCGAAGTTTCAATTTTTTTTTCTTGTTATAGTAAATTTTCGGACTCCTCACGGTTTACATTGTTTCGCAGAGATTCCGGATAACGACTATATTAAGTATTTTGCGCCGGATTTTTCATTGAAGATACCTGGTGGATACATTGTAAGTAGTAGTTTTCTCTTATATATGAACTTAAAGAACTTGTATATGTTTAGTTGCTCATTAAGAGGTTGAGGAACATTTTTGTGGTTTTGGATATGACAGGAGAATTTAAACACCAAATCGTATATCAGCTCGATCAAAGTACAGATTTTGGAGAATTTGAGATACATTCAACATGCGCCAAGCGTGCAGATGCAGGAGGTAAACTCGTTTGTTTCATTTTACAACATTACAAAAATCTGTTTTTGTTTCATTTTCCACTGATTCAGCGGTTCTGACTTGAATGTTGCAGGTTCCACCGGATTTCTACATACCTGATTTTAATGAAGATGAACAAAACCCAGACGAACGTGTGGATCGTAAGTATCGAAAACTTGTCTGAAATTCTTGGTAAAAACATTTTTATTGTTATTTTTGAAGTTTTTGCAGCAGTTTGATGTTTGTGTTGCTGGAAACGTTTTCAGAGCGTTCGCGGGATAAGCAGATTCAAAGGGACGATGAATATTTTGCTGGGGACAACGATAACGATGGGTCTTAGAAGTTAGAACATAAGACAATTCAAAGTTGGCTTTGTTTGATTCTTATGATTGTAATGAGAAAAATTACATTTTTAAACGGATCGTAGATTTATCCATGTCTCTCTTCTAATTTGAATGTGTTCCATCTATTGTCTTTTGTATATTACTAGGCTTGTTACTTGCAGTGTTTGATTAGCTTCTAATCTGAAGAATTTATTTGTTACGTTTTGATATTTTCGACAAGCTATATATTGCCATTATACAGAGGATAAATGAAATTAACGAATTGCATACTAAACATCAGTTTTCAGTGTTATGGTTGAATATCAAAACGATAATATTTTCTCCATTCTTAGGGCGTCATCGCGATGTAGTTTCAACCGCGATTTTATTGAACTGAATTGTTCCCAAGCGTGAAACTACATATAATTCTGCAAAACCTAACTTTTCCTGCGAAAACATATATTTTTGAATCAATGATTTCTTCAGTTAATATTTCCATAAGCAAAATTCACGAAATAGGTTTTACTATTTTTGGGTTGATAAAAGAAAATTCCAGATCTAAAAACGACACCAAAAATTGAAGAGAAAACAGAAAGCATGGAAATTTCTCTGATCTGAGAAACAGAAAATCTGAATCTGAAATTTCTAGACGAGTAATTGCATCAGAGTCATGGAAGTTAATGATTTTCCAACACCGCTCAAAGGATTCGAGCTTCTTTATCAATTGGGATTAACTCATCATTTGCAAGTTGGAACAAATAGATATATAAGAATAACAATGGATTAATAAAAGCCATTTGTAGGAATCAAAACCGATAACATAAACAAATACTAGTAGTAGCAAACGAAAGAAACAGAAGCAATAATGGGCAGCTGAGAATAAAGAATTGGTTTCCTGACGCCCAGGGTGAAATATTGGGGGATGCGAAGTAGGGTTTATATATATAGATAGGTGGTCAAAAATCTAAACCTAGGTTTAAAGTTTAAACTAATCACGGTTAAGAGAGTATCAACTATGGTTAAGTAACTCAAGTTAACGAGATTATGATCGAGATTTTTTTAAATTTCACGGGTATGAAATAAATGTTTATGTTAGTTAATTTTAAAACTAAACCAATTGACAGGTGGATAAATTGGTATTCAGGCCGGTTAACAGAACCAAAATTCCTTTAAATATGACGAACCTGTTTTAGAAGGAACCATACCAAATTGCAAATAGTCTCGCAAGAACCAACAGTAAAAGTAAAACCCTAGCCAAACATCCTGTAGCGATTCGCATTCCTCGTGAAATCAGTCTGGTAAATCCTCAACCATTGATCTTTCTACTCCTTGATATTGTTTTTTCTTTTTCTGGACCTTCTTAGTTCTTCGTTATGTCGAGCTTGGTAACTTTAAAAAAAAAAATTGATGTTGCCCTAATTTCACAAGCGGTTAATTTATTGCACGAGATTGTTGATTGACTGTTTCCATTTAAAAATTTGGTTTCTAGGGTTTCAGCTCTCCTCAGTCTTCGATGGGGAATCATCAAGTTGATAACAAGTTCACTTGGGTGATTAAGAACTTCTCCTCTTTGCAATCTGAGAAAATCTACTCCGATCAGTTCCTGATAGATGGCTGCAAATGGTAACAAGACAACTTGCTTTCTACATTTTGGTTTATGTTAAAAACGTGACACATCCATTGTTTTCCCTTTTTTTTTTTTTTGCATGCAGGCGTCTTATGGCCTTTCCTAAGGGAAACAGAGTGAACTATTTGTCTCTGTACCTTGAAGTCGCTGACTTTGAATCGTTGCCTTGTGGATGGACAAGACACGCAGAGTTTGATTGTACCGTCGTAAACCAAACTAAGGAGAGATTCTCACAAGCGAAAAGTGAAATGCTTTAATAGATTAATTATTCTATATAATGTGTTTGTGAAGTGCTTGTTTTTTTTCTTCTAACTAACGTTCTGTTTTTCGTGGCTTTACAGGAACAGAACACTGGTTTGACAAGGAGGAACCAGACTGGGGTTTTACGTCCATGCTTCCCCTTCACAGACTCGATGCCAAAACATCTGAGTTTCTCATGAACGGAGAAGTCAAGGTTGTTGCAGAGGTAAAGGTTCTTCAAGTTATTGGTGAATCCAACGAGGCAACACAACCTCTAAAAAAAATGAAGATCAATGATGATGCTGCAGCGTCTACTCCAGCAGATTGGGTGGAGGTTAATGGGTTTCAAATTCTTTCTTCACAGGTATGAAACTAAGAAAGATGCACACTTCATGTTTTCACATTTTAGATATTTCAATAACATCAGCTGTTTTTTTTTTTTTTTTTGTTGATTTTGGGGCAAGATATGGTTTTCTTGTTTTAACAAATTAGTAAAACTTCTACATACAGAGAAAATGAAAAACTACATCTTTAAAGTCACTCACTTTATTTTATTCCTCCTTGCAGGTGGATTTGGCGAGGCGTGTCTTTGAAACACACCCAGAGACTGCAATAGAATGCCGTACCAAGAACCAAGATCTGAGAACATCATACATGAATGTCCTCCTCAGCCTAATCAAGATGCTCTTCAAGTTGCCTCAGGAACACTCCGAGGATGATGATCTGTCTGATTCAGTAGCTGCTCTGGCATACTTGAAAAGCGTAGGGTTTAAGTTGGATTGGTTGGAGAAGAAGCTTGATCAAACCAAAGAAAACAAGAAGAAACGTGCCCGTGTGTGTGAAATGGAACAAGAGCTACATGGCTTGGAGCAGAAGTGCAAAGACCTAAAAACTCTGCTGGATAAAGAGAAGGCTGAGATTTTGGAAGCCACAGCTCCTGATCTCTCTTTCAGTAATGTTGTTTGATGACTTGAGTTTGGTTTATGTTCGATTGCGTCTTGGTTTCGAAACTAGAGTCCTCTGCTTTTAACTTAGGAAGCTAAAGAGACTTGTGTTAGTCAGATATTTCCACATTTTCATAAATAAAGGTTTTCTTGTGGTTATAAATTAATGTTATATGTTTCTTCATCAATTGAAGATGTTTATAAACGTAGTAACATAAGTTTCAATTCTGTATGTAGCATCAATCAGAAACAATGGGTCCAGAATTGATACACTGAACTTGGAATCTCAGTTTTCTGCTGTGATGCTGTCTAACAAGGACTCACAGGCATCTTCAAGCAAGTCCAATACCTGACAAAGAAACCAGTAAGAGAGATCAAGATGTGAGCTTTGTCCTAAGTCCTAACAAAACAGATCAAATAGGACTCGAATGCCATCTTTAAAAGTCTTATAGACCAAATTAACCATTTTAACCATCTTTAATAGCTTCTTGCTGCAAATGCTGTTAAAGATGGACTATTCTCTCTCTAATGGCTTATAACATATTATTACCTTCTCAAAGCCTTGAGCTCCACCATAATATGGGTCTGGAACGAACTTGTCATTGTGTTTCTTGCAATACGAACACATCAACTTCACCTGAATAATCCAATCAACAATGTAGTAAAATCTCACAAAAAAAGAGTTACAAAGTTTTAGCAGCAGCAACAAAACACCAAACAGTACCTTTTTCTCTGCATCAGGTGGGAAATTTCCTCTGGCTTTCCATACATTATAAGCCTTCAATATATCCTCTGCAAAACAAACTCATCAAATCTCCATACACTAAAAAAATTGCCGAGAAACTTTAATCTAATTCACACAATTCTTGTAATCATAATCATTACTCTTTTCTTCTACCTTTGTTCTGCTCATCCATTGCAAGAATGAGATCAAATTCTCTGAAATCAGATGCCTTTATTGGTCTTGACAATGATGTTATCTCAACTCCACGACGTTTCGCAGCACTTCTCATTCTCGGATCTGCCATATTTCCCTTCAAAAGAAGCAGTTTTCACAAATCAAAAATTGATTCAAAAACATGAATTTCAAAGTCTCACTGATCTCCAAAACCCTAAAACTAAACTAAGCAATTCACACTAATTGTTCCAATCAGGCATCAATCTTCTTTCACAGCCCTGCCTAAGATAGATTGATTTGATTCTCTGTTCTTCTCTCTGATTCGAAAAGCAAAAAGAAATCGGAAGAGAATGATAATCACCTCATGATAATCGATTGTTCCGGCGGAATCTATGTTGAATTTGGAATCGAGGCCTCTCTTCTTCACGATGTCTCTGAAGACGCCTTCAGCTGCTGGGCTCCGGCAAATGTTTCCCAGACAGACGAACAAAACAGAGAAAGGTTTGCTCTCGGTGCTCTGCGTCGGGGTCTCCATTGGAGAAGACGATGCGAAGCACGAAACCGAAGGAGAAATTCTGGGTTTTTCTCGGAAGCTCGAAATGAGACTTGGGTTTATGCGAGATTGGCGTTTCACTGATCGGAAAGTAGATGCGAAATGAGAAGGGAGAGGAAGGAATCGAGTGGAGTGGCAAAATGGTAAATTTGAAAGGATTGTTGGAGAATTGATGAGCTTGGGACAGTGCTGTAATGGCGTCACCATTCCCTCAAAGCTCGGAGTTTTGGATATACGAATTTTCTGATTTCAGCTAGAAGAAATCAACCATTTTAAACAATTTTGGACCGATTCAAACCGAATTTAAACCGATTTAAACCGATTCAAACCGAATCATAGTCACAGTGTACACCAAAACCATAAATCACAATACAAAACATAATCTGAATATGAGCCACGACAAATTCTCTTTATAATTTCTCTATTCTCAAACCGCAAACCTTATGTTCTCATCCCAAAGCTTTATTCTATTCTTCTCTTCTTATCAAATGCACAAATATTGCATATGAATCTGTATTTGTGCTGTTTTGTGCTCTTGTTTACGGCAGCTATAATATGTGTGCTTTCCAACACTTCAGCCCCTATCTCTTCACAAGTCTAAGTTTGTGTCTCTTCTTTGTTCACAATCTCTGTGTTTCTGTCATCTTCATTTACACTCCCAGAAATATTGAAAGAACTTGTATAATTAAGATGTATATCAGAGTGGTTTGTATAATTAAGATGTATATGAGAGTGGTTTTCTTCTAATTGACAGTTATGATGACATGCCAAAGATACAAAAGAGATTTAATAGGATATTCCAATTTAGAAGTAAAAACAATCTAAGCATGAAATATCAATAGAGCTAAAGAGATAAGCGTGATGAAAATACAAACTTGGCATCTCATGCGTTGTATTTACCTCAATGTTGCATATGACTGAACTTTTTTCTCAACTCAACTCATAATAGTTTGATCAAACCTACAAAGACTATTTTATCAAAAAAATCTACACAAACATATTGGAAAAACATGTTCGTATATTTTGATAAATATTTAGTTACTTAGATAAAATTCCATTGTTTTAGACTTTTAGGTAAGCAAAAGCAAAATGTTATAGACAAACACACACATTATCATATAAAACAATTTTTGACAAATAAAAAATGTTACCAACAAAAACAAAAGTGAAACCAAACTACTGGTAAAAGGAAAAGGTTAATTACCATGATATGATTTATGCATAGACAGTGCGGTTATGCATAGACAGTGCGGTTATGCATACATGATTAAATAACACCCCTTTAGATTTTTTTTTATACTATAATCTCAACCAAACTAGAGCAAACAAAAAATATGTAAATGTCATTATCTTTTTTTGTAGGGGCCTAGATTATATGTCTCTTTGTTTCTCATTTCCGAAACAGATTAAAGAAATATCTTATAAAAATACTAAAATAGCATGAAAGGAGAGCCAAATCCTCTCAAATGATTTTGTACTAATTATTGTCTAGTCACCTAAATAAACTTTATAATAATCATAGAATACTGTATCCTAACTATTGAATAATTGCTTGGAAAATAAGCAAATACATTTAATTACGAAACGCGGCATCTCTAACCCCTAATTTACAACTTATGCCCTTGCCATATACACATCGCCTTTGTATCTTCTACTGATTCTATTTCTCAGCCCAAAAAGGCAAAATCTCACAGCTACTTCTTCTCTTCTCCTCCATAGCCAAATCTCTCTCATTTCTCTGTCTCTCTCTCTTCTCTCTCTCTTCATTCATTGGCTCTGATTGGATCCGAAATGGAGCCATGGGCGGACGATTTAGCCGACGATTTACAGAGTGTGAGCTTTACTTCCGCCGGAACCACCGTGAATCGAAGCACTAGCTCCGGTTCTCGCTCATCTTCCTCCGCCGCAGCTCTTACGCCGGCGCCATCAGCTCACGGCTCTTTCTCCTCTTCCAAACTCCCTCCCTCGCTTCGATCGTCTCTGTCCCTCTCCGATCTCCGATTCCGTCTCCGTCTCGGCTCCGGAGACATCGGTTCAGTTTTCTTAGCCGAATTCAAATCCGTCTCAACGGCCGTCGAAGCCGCCGGGAAGTTACCGCTCTTAGCCGCGAAAGTGATGGATAAGAAGGAGCTCGCGAGCCGAAGCAAAGAAGGCAGAGCGAAGGCGGAGAGAGAGATTCTCGAATCGCTTGACCATCCTTTCCTCCCGACGCTTTACGCCGCCATTGATTCCCCGAAATGGCTCTGTTTATTGACGGAGTTCTGTCCCGGCGGTGACCTCCACGTTCTCCGTCAGAAACAAACTTACAAACGCTTCCACGAATCCGCCGTCAGGTAACCTCCGTTACAGTTTCCGTTTATCATCTCCTTGAATTTTTCCCAGTAATTAAATTAATATATTCAGTTTCCAAAAATATTTAAAAATCTTTGTGAGGAGTATAGGAAGTGAAATTAAAAAAAAAAACAAAAAGGAAAACGAAAGCCAAAGGCTGATTAAATCAGGGGATGGTGGGTCCCGCCAGCTGGCCATTTGTCTCGTAGTTTAACACACTTAAAAACATAGTAACAGAATTTATGGCTTAATCACAAGATTATGGCCTTTTTAACGGGAATAACTAAATCATAGGCTTATTAAGTTACCTATAATCCCTCTACAGCTAACAATCGCACAAAACGAGATTTCACGTCCATAATTCCGCCCTAAATTTTCGGCAAATTAGCAGTTTTCTTTTTCACTAACACAAAATTAAATTCGTAATGAATTCTCCAGATATTTTTATTGATTAGTGTTTCCACATTTGGTTTATTGATTGATGTGCACGATAATGGTTTTTTTTAGAAAGTTTATTTACGCCACACATAAAAAGGGAACTAGAATGTCTATTTAATTTTAGAAACCATAGTGCCAATTATATAATATACAGTAAAGTTTTTATTTATTTATAATAAGCAGATGGACGCACGATTAACAAAGTGTGTGCATCCTTACATGTGTGCGTGTATCGTAGGGCACAATTAAGTAGTTGCAATCTGGTGCGGACGCTTAAAAATAAAAAGTCAAAACGAGTGGGGTTTGACTTTGAGCCCATAACCAATAACGTAAGGACACGTGTGATTTTTTTGGTGGGACCGCGTAATTCAATTAAGTCACGTAGCATGCCATGGAAGTAGAATATGAGTATTTTTCTAATTGCACATGTGGTTTCAGTGCAAGCACATCCCAGCTAGGCAGGTTACTATTATTACAATACTTCCTCTTAGAAACCGGTGGTTATTAGAAATATTAATGTTTTTTTAATGACTACCACACCAAAATTTAACATACGAAAAGTAGTATAAACTGTTTTGTAAAAACGCTACATATAAGACTAAAATATTACGTTTGAGTTCTTTGATTTTCTATTTAGAGTTTATATTTCCTCTATTGATAAGGGGTTTTGAAAATGAAAAAGAGAAAAGGAAAATGATTTTGAGTTATTTCAGTATTGAGTTTGAGCTATGACTATGGTTTGTGCTATGTTTGGGACACAAACTTTAAAAAATGTCATTTTTGATAATTGTCATAATTTTACTTCTTTTTAAAAGAAATAATTTAATCTCGTTATTTTTCCACTTTTTATCAATTAAGCTTTAATGACATGGTCCCATTAGTGAGATTGATTTTAGAAAACCTGATTTAAATTGAACTTTGGGCACCATATATCCGGTTAGTTACAGAACAGATCACGAAATCTATAAACATTTAGGATATCCGTTCCATGTCCACTCATAGTTAGAAGTAGGAACGAAGCAATTACTTTGATGATACATACATTAGGCATTTTCGTTTTCGGTTGGTAGAAAGGTTTTATTGCCGTGTTGGTGTGTCGCTTAGTAGATTTATTTTTACACCCTTTTGGTTGGTAAGTAGATGAAGTGATCATTGTTAGTTGAGTTAGCCACTTAATACCATTTATGGAACAATTCTTATCACGTGAAATACGAGAAAACCGGATCTTGTTGTTCCTGTTAGATGATGATAGATCTAATATATTTTTGGTACTTGCGTTAATGTTAGATGACATGCTGTAGTAGTTTACACGTTAAAGATCCTGAAAGTGACTCAAAATCGAATGACCAGCTGAGCTTTAAAAAAAAAAAAAAAAAAAAAAAAAACTATTATCTTGAATATGTGTGTGAATTTACAAATAATTCTAGAGTATAGGACTACGGATTCGGTTTTACCTTAATTTATTTGAGTTCTACAAGAGTTCTTCTTTAGTTAAAAGTAAAATGATTGAGAAACAGGTTGTCCTGTCTACCTTTGGCTATCTTTTAATATGCTTGTATTCCCCAAGATATTTTAAGGTTGTCCTACAAAAAATTTAGGTCCCATTTCTCTAAAATTAGCTGCATTTTATCACATTTAGAAACTTGTTGCATTAAAAGAAAATTGGTTATTTCTTTTGAAGCCTTTTCAAACCTAATCAACAATATAAAGATCAATAAGTCTATGGATATGTGTATATGAACCGAATAAGAAATGGCTCTAAGTTTCCGGTTTATGTTTTGTGTGAACATGTTCTTAAGAACCAAAACAGTAGACTTCTACTCTGTTCTGTGTGGAGTCCGTTTGTTTAAATGTGGACCCGTGAAGACAAAAGGGTCGGCTCATGCTTTGTCATGAAGGTGTTTGCACCAGAAACTCTCTTTTAGACAAAAGAGTTCGTTAAACCAACAACCTTGTAGGTCCACAATTGTTCCTCTTATGCATAGTAACATCAAACCAAGACATTATCTTCTTGTCCCCAAAATCCAACAGATGCTCTTTTGTATTTGTAACCAAAGATTCCAAAAAAGTCTTGCTAATTATTCGCAAAATCTCAATTATTCGTATTGTCTTCACTATCCTGTTTTCTTCCACCTGTCCCTTATTATCATAATTGTTTTTTTGCATTCACATTACTAATAAAAATACCATCTCTTACAATTTTTTTCCTTCCAGATTCTATGTATCGGAAGTGATTGTAGCCATTGAATATCTTCACATGATGGGGATTGTTTACCGTGACTTGAAGCCTGAGAACGTGCTGGTTCGGTCAGATGGTCACATCATGTTAACAGATTTCGATCTCTCCTTGAAATGTGATGAATCAACCTCAACACCACAGATTGTGTTGAACCGGAACCAACCTCCTCACGGTTCGTCTGATCAGAATGAGAACCAAG